TTGGTTTATCTAGGTGCTTCCTAGTCTATTCATGCCCATAAAGAACCACAAACTATTGGCTTCCCTCGCTAATAAAAGCTCCTTTTAATGAGAGGAGCAACAAGCAGAAGCAGAGCCTCAAATTCCCTCCAGTAACATATGAAAATAACTTCAAAATAGCTCGCTATTCAGCTTCAGCTCTTGTATGAGGTGATGGAACTCCCCATGTTGTTGTCTTTTCTGTAGAATGGAGTAAACACAGTATGTGCATCGTTTAGTTGTAGCACTTAAAAGAAAAATATTATGAATTCGTTATCACTGCTCCTCAAGAAATCCATTTCTTCTTCCTCAAATGGTTCATCCCATACTGTTCAAGGCTGCATTCAAGGCTTGCTGCTCCTCTTATTAAAAGCAGCATTCATTAGCTAGGAAAGCTAATAGTTTGTGGGTATTTGTCAGCATAAACAGACTAGGATGCACCTAGATAACTAAAAAAGGACTGTAGTACAGTTGCCAGAACATACTCACTATCATTCCCCAGCCTTTCCGCTCTGCTCCACCATGTATTTTCTTTAACTTCCGCATTTTTAAAGTCAGCATGTTGATTGTCGTCTAAGCTTCAGTGCTCTGCTACAAACAAGCTCAGCTGTTCTGCCAAAATCTTGATGCATGTTTGGACTGCAACCATGACAACTGAGCTCTGATTGGTGAGCTTAATTTTTAACACATCCATACAACGCATTAAATCTGATTTAAAAATGTAATCATAGTTTCAGATTTAATGTGAAAGATGGCGTTATTACGTGTGTTTATTTTTTATTCTAAACATAAAAATTGGACTTGTAAAAGTTTTAGGCGACAGCTTTATCACATAATTATAATACAGCATCTCAGGCATCAGACAGCATATTGCATTTCCTGCAGTAACATTCTGAGAGGCATTGGCTGGTGTTCACAAATCAGTCATAAAATAGGAGACTCCCCCATGTTTATTCCCCCATATTTGACATCTCATTGTTACGAAAACTGATTGTAATCTGGTTTCTGTCATCACTGCTGGAAAAGGTTCTCTAGAATGGAGCAATTCACATTAAACCGATCTGAATATCTCAGTCTGAATGTTTGCATTTTAATGATGTAATTATGCAGAAACTGTGAAAAATAGATGGGATTCTGCTTTATGGGTTAAGAGTTAGGCTTAGAACATATATGTGTAAGTAAATATGTTGCATCAAAAAAAGACATTCTGTGTCTATTTTTGTCATTTGTTACTTTTTTGCATAATTTGAAGACTACAGTTACCTTTGCATCGTGTTAAATTTCATGATTCAGTAGGTCCAGTAGAAATGCTCCAGTATTACTTGGAAGAAAATGTCATTACATCAACTTCGATTACAAGTTAAGGATATTTTTCCCTCTCCTGTACAGTTTAACCATTTTGAAGATACGATGACAGCGACGATATATAATACCTCTCAGACCCCATGTCCTGACATTTTATAAAAACAAACGTGTTTTGTGTGTGCGTGCCTCACCCTCCCTCCTGCTGCGCTGTGCTGTTTTTGGACCTGCTATTAGGCCACTAAGTTGGGGTCAACTTCTACAACTGCAGTCATTATGTAATTACGGTGGTTAAAGGCAGAGACAGTAGGCTGCGCTTACACACTGAAATAATCCACCAATCCCAAACCAGCCTGTCACTGCTCAAGCCGTCACTTGTCTAGCTGGATTTTTTTTTTCTGGTGACTTCTGAACAGAAAAGTGTGTGTGTGTGTGTGCGTGTGTGCGTGCTTATGTTGGTGCGAGCCGGTGTGTGTCTGCATGTTTCTGTCAAAAGTCAGAGACCACCATTCATTTATTTAATTTCCAACCAAAACAGCTTATAAGTTATTCATTTTTTAGCATTAAGAGTTAAAGCAGAAAACATATATTTAACAGAAGCCTCAACAACTAAATATAATACCATTTTTTTGCAGTATTCATTGTGTCCACCTTTAGCTATTATTAAAGCTTTCATTCTTTTTGGGAGACTTGCTCTCCGAAGTTGGTAGGGATATTCTTCCACACCTCAAAAGTTCAGTCTTAGAAGTTGGTTGCATTTTGTGCTTCTCACAAACCAAGTAATCACACTTGGTCTGGACTCTGGGGTGGTCAGCCCATTGTTCTGAGAACACCAGCAGCATCTTTGTTCTATTTGTTCTTCTTTTTTTTGTCTATTTCCTTTTCTCAGTAAGGGCTTCTTGACAGCTACACATCCTTTCAGACTCATAGTGTTGAGTTGTTGTCTTCTCACAGTGGAAGGATACTGTCCTCAGACACATTATCAGAAATTCTCCTGACTTTCGCTCAGCTGTGTGCGTCTGTGTGTGCGCTCGTGTGTGCACTCGTGTGTGTGCATTTGTGTGTGTGTGTGCGCTCGTGTGTGTGTGTGTGTGTGTGTGTGTGTGAGCACCCCCTTGTGGTTATATGGGTAATTTGGAGCTGAATTTCAGGATATTGACAAAATTACTCAGTAAATATTGGCTCAGACTTTTGCTTCCTAAGTGAGTTTGCAGTGAAGCTGCTGGATGCACTGACTGAAAGGACGTTTTTCACACAGCTGCATCTGCCAGCTCAGCTTTGATTACTGCCAATTACTACTCACCCACCATTCACAGTCATTCATTTTGTACTTGGTGTTTTTTTTGGCCGCATTGGCAACGAAAGCTTTCTGACAGCAGACACTTGCTGCATTTATTCACCTTGTGCACAGCAGGTAGAAACCTGGGTAATGAATGAAAGTCACTTACAGTCTTACAGAGACGGAAACAAGACTGATCCAGTCTGCATTAGGACTGCGGATGTGTGGTGTGCGGGTGCATGTTTCTTTCTTTTACGCTTTTTATTCAGTTCAGCTGTAATGATGATAATAATAATAGGGATCATAGAAGTAATACAATATTACTATTATATATGTAAGCATATAAATATAGAATTATTAATCTCAGTATTACTGAGCTCTGCTAAAGCCTGAGTAGACTGACAAATCAATGTGATGATCAGTTATTACTCTCATGGGTGATGTGTAGCACATGGAGCTCATAGAATTTTGTCAGTTGCATTCTGTTTGGCTAATTGCACATCCGTTTGTCTGCACTTCGGTGCGTCAGGTATTATCTGTCTGATTAAAAAAAAACTTTTGCTTCATTTAAATAACTTCATTTCAGTAAGTGAATTAAATAAGTGATTTTTTTTCAGTTAGTAGAACAATTACATAAAGAGAAACAGCCAACCAGTTACTGTGAGAAACAATCTGAGGACTGAGAATTGAGAAGTTTTTCAGTTATTTCAGTTTTATTTAAATCATTAACAAGATATGGCTGCTGGGGACGTGTACAGGTACTCAAGTACTCACTTCACCATTTGGAGTGCCATTATTAAAAAACTTAAATCACTATGCGAATATTAGTTGTTTCATTACAGTAATAGGGAGAAAATATAGAGACTAGCAAGTCACTGAAACACCTCTTTTATGTTTTGATGCATTTGTGCTTCTCTTTGTAAGTGTGTATGTTAACACAAGTTCCTAAATGTGTGCGCATTGTTAAGAATTTACTGGTAACTAGGCTAACTACTCTAGCTGATGTTGGCTATGTCTAAAAAGTGGAAATGTGTTTCTCTGACAAACTTCCACTGAGAAGAAAACAATGAGTCCTCAGCAGTCAGTGTTGTACTGGTTATGTAAGGCTCCGATCTGGGGCTGGGCTGTCTGCTAACCCACCCCTGGCCAGCAGAGGGAGGCATAGAACCACTCCTCCGTGAACGGGGCAGTCGGCAGCACCTGTTCCTTCCCTCCTTAAGGGAAGCTCACCCTAACTTCCACACTCAGTCTTGGGCTCTGTTTTCATAGTGCTATACAAGTCTAAGCTGGTAATTTGGTAAAGCCCCTCAAGTTTTCTCCTGGGTCTCTCATCGCTCTCTCCTTTCTTGTCTGTGCCACTCCTAACCCCTCAAACATCCCTCTCAGGGTATCTCTTGCACTTCTTTTCTGGGCATTTCTCAAGTTGCATTCTTAGGTTTAAAGAAAAAAGAGAAAAGGAACCACTCAGAGAATATGCTGAGCTCTTTGTCCTCAGTTCAGACATTCTCTGCCCTCCATGCCAGGATTTGCCTGCTAGCATTTTTTTGCTTTTTCCCTATCCCACCTTTCCTTTGTTGGAAACCTTGGTTTGTGTTTCTGTTTTGCTCTCTCGATTTCGAGCCCCTCAGTCTTGACTTGTCCTTTACTTCCTTTACCTCTTGCTGTCTGCCACCCCCTCTAGTGGTGTGACGAGTTGTGTCAGAGCTCCATTACTGGGGTCTGCAGTTTGTATCCCAATCTAGGTCTCTCTTAGCCTTTGCTTTTCATTAGTGTCTCAGCTTACCTCCCCTAGTTCACACCAACATACGATTGGGTTTGCTTTTTATTTTATTTTGTGTTGACTCTTGAGCACTTCAGTCCTTCTTGCTTATATCCTCAGTGGGTAGCTCACTCTGTTTACATTGCTCCCCTATAGTAAGGGTTCCAGGTTTGAATCCACCTCAGGTGAGCTACCACGTTACTGAAGTCCTTACCTGTAGTCACTCGGATTTCTGTCCATTAACTTTTGCGAATAATACTCTAATATCAAGATTAGTTAAAATACACATTGCTAATAGACATACACTCTTAAAAAAGATATTTCTTCAAGGGTTCTTTAGTGAAGAAAATTGTTCAATATAGAACCATTAACACTTGAAGAACCCTTTCCATGATTAAAGTATGTGAAAATGAATTTTCAGTAATTTTCAGTAAATATGTTTGGCAAGCCTTGCATGAGTTGAATTTGAATTATTAGAAGGCAGTGTGGGCAGGTCTATAAACCCCTCTGCTGCTTCACTCTAGAGTTCTAGAGTTTTTGTTTTACTATGCGTTTAATTTACATTACATAATTACTTGAATTGTGTATTGACAGGTTTGAGTCTCTCTCCCTTACTCAGTCCTGCTGTCTTTCTTCCTGCAGATTTCGAACATCACCAAGCTGAAGGACTTCTTACTGCAGCACAGGAAGGACTATGTAAACGCCAGCAGGTAGGCCTAACCCTGACCTTTGATCCTAAATGTGGGAAGGGTTACAGGCTGCACTTTAGCTGCTTAGAGCCTCTTGCTGTCCTTGGTACAAAGTGTGTGGACTGAGTTTGCACTCCTTTGGAAGAATGTAACAGGGAAAATGATAGCTTTATTGAAGCTTCTTGTTCTATTTACCAGACAACATTATTTGAAATTTTTGTATAGGTAGCTAATACGTATGCACACACATCCCACTGCCTTCCAGTTACTCAACACCAAAAAGATACTAAATGATAAATAATGCACTGTAATTAATTTCTCAATGTGTGACCTGGGTGAGATTTGATTACTACATTTTCTATACAAGGCATTCTGATGTTAATTGTTTTATTTTGGAATGTTTTCAAAGTCAGTAATCATCTACAGCTCTGTTCATCATTCTTTATACATCTTATATTTTCCTATTTTTTGCAGCTTCCTGCTTATTATTTGAAATCTGTGCAGTTGTAGAACTGTACCATCATCATAGAATCAGTATTTCATCCATTTATCTGCAATGTTTATTTTTTTTTATTTTAATGAAACATTGATTCCAACCTTCAAAATTTATGATTCCAAATTTTACTTATATTCCTTAATAGAATATTTTATCAGATTTACAGTTTACCCCAGCATGTAGTCAATTAGCCAAGATATGTTGACAGTTATATAAATGAAAATGGGCAAAAGTACATTGCATACTTCTAACAGTAGTAGCTTTTTTATTATTCCTATTATTATGAGGGATGATGGCACAATGATACAAGGGTGTTGCTATTGGAAGATAATTGCTTCAGAATAATTGTCAGCATTGGACAGATGTTTAAATTTGACTAATATTTGATAACGTACAAATGATACTCCGGAAGAGCAGGGTGACTGCGCTAAAATGTCTGCATTTTATTCATTTTACTCCCTTTGTAACCCTGTAGAAGCATATGTTATATTTCTCCATACTGCTAATACATATCACACCTATCTGAGCTTATTGGACCTCCCATTCCAAAATCATGGACAATAATTTGGAGTTATTATAATTGTTATTATTAGTAATGAATTTTATATTGTGCATTTTTGAGGTCCTCAACATATATTTACAGATTTTTTATATTTTTTATTTTTTTAATTTATAGATAACAGTGTGATACAGAGTCTCAATAGCAAGTCTATTTCAGAAGCAGACTTTAGACACCAAACATGTCTTGGCTGTCTTTGGGTGTAAATTTTATTGGTTTAAAACAGGGGTGCTTAGTCGTGGTCCTGAAGACCTACCACCCTGCAGAGATCAGCGCCAACCCTAATCGAACACATGTGATCCAGGTAATAAAGGCTTTCAGGGACACCTAAATTTTAGAGCTAGGTCTGTTGGATCTAAACTTTGCAAGGTGTTATATCTCCAGGACGGTACCACTGTGGGCACCACTGCTTTAAAACTGACGGTTTGATGATTTTAATCAACACTAGATGGCGAACTTGACCAGCATAAGCCCCAGGCCTTGCATACCTCTCCGTAAGCAATCTACAGTCATCCTGACCGTCCTTAAGATCACTTTACACATAATCTTGTGCCGCACTGGCCGCACACCAAGAGCTTTAGCCTTATAGCTGCTATCTAAAACATTTTCAAGGTTGTACTTGATGCTGGCTGCTCAGCAGAAACTACAGCAATCCATCAGAGGGACCTATCAGTTCATGGCTGAAAAATACCAGCACAGAAGCATAGAGCTGGTTGATGTGAATACTGATGGGGTTTTGGGTAGAGGACAGACAGGGGTTTTAGAACCAACTCTGGAGTAAAAAAAAAGATCCTTTTTACTTCTAGTTTGAAAGGTCAAACTGGAATAACTAACAGACCTTTTCTGAGTATTCCATATTGTCGCTGTCATAAAAATCTTCTCAATTTTTTTTTACACTCTTTGTAATGCCAGCTTACATTATGTGAACATTTCGGGATGAAATGAATAATAGAAATGGTCCAGAAAGACTTGGAATAACTATGTTGTTAAATTAACTTACAAGGTTCTTTTTTTAATTTATTTTATTTCCCTCTTGTTTAAGGCTTTAACAATATGTATCCATTTACTGGGAATTTTTATACTGAATCAACTAATACATTTTGGACTGTAGACAAAGATGGGAATGAGGTTAGAATTGTCATAATTCCAAAGGTTTGGTTGTTACACTAATACTCGTGGAATTGGTACCAACTCATTACCACAGCAATAGCAGAAATACTATAATTACACACTTAAAAATTATGGTTCCTAAAGGGTTCTTTAGTAAAGGAAATGGTTGCATATATATCAGTCTGAAGAACCCTTTCACGATGCAAAGAATCCCTTAATCATGCAAAGGGTTCTTTGAGTGTTCATGGTTCCATATAAAGAACCATCCTTTTTTAAAGTGTAGTATATTATTGAAATCCACAATGACTACCCATTTAAATACTAAACCAGTAAGTTCTAAAGGTTAGAGCACATGAATCAAACATTCTAAAACAATTAAAAAACTTAGTAATGTCTGGATATCCTGGGAATTAATATGTCCAGAAAAACAGCCGGTAAGCCCAGTGAACCTGAACCTGGGTGAATAAGCAATAACTTTCTACTAACAACAAGCACACAAGTTTGGGTTTGTTTGGTACGTGTGTGACTCAGCGGCTTCATTGTGTGCAATATATTAAAGACCAACATTCTCAAATAACAATGAAGGTGATATGAGTTTCTGCTTTTGAATAAGAGCTCTGATGATATAACCAACGTCTGAAATATCTGATGGCATTGTTTGCTGTTTGGATTTTGAGGTCCACTATATCACCTTGCTCATCTGTGTTAAATTCAAAGTATTTTTGTATACTCTTGACTCCCTTTTTTGTAATAAATGGCTCAATCAGTGGAACCAAAGTACTGATACTTTTGATATCCCTAAATGGGGCCCTCTTGAAATTCACCCTAAATTTAATATTGAAGCGCAAAATACTTTCACCCACAGCTAAAGCTACATTCACATTATCAGGTTTAAGTGGCACAGATCTGTTTATTTTCTGCCCTAAAAAAGGAAATTTCAAAATATGTTGTTCAAAATATCTGGGTATTTGTATGGCTGAGATGTAAACAGAGTGTTTGGGTGAGTTGATGTAAAATTTTAGAGTCTTACCAACTCTGATTTCTTTACAGTGGAGGTGAGAGGAACCAGAGATTACAATGTCTACAACACAAAATATAGCCCTTTTATTTACTATCCAGTGAACTTACATGTTGATGATGTTGATAATGTTGGTAAAACAGCAGTAAATCTGAAAAAAAAAAGTTTTCTTTGGACTATTTTGCCTTACAACACCCTCAATGTATCTCTTTACCAAGAATATATTAAGAAATATGTTTTTAATCTTGGCTCAAAACTATCATAAAATAATGTCTTAGGCATCAGGCAGAATATTGGTAAGCATTTCATGTACTTACTTTCTGTGAAGAAGCTTTTAGAGGCGATAAACGGTTCAGATGTCTGATTCCTATCACCACACAGGGAAAAATTCTGACTTGGTAAGTTTCTTTAGAACAGAGCGTTTCACATCTTCACATCACTTCACTCTAAAAGACTTCTCTACTAATCATGAAGTGAGAGTTGATCAGAGCTATTAAGTTTTACAGTGAAGGCTTGGGCTGATAGTTCATCCATTTATTGTTGCTTTTCGTTATGCCTGTGGATCATTCACATGATGCTATTTTGATAAGGATTTGCGCATACAGGTCGTTTCAGGGCAGAGGTCTGTTCATACTAAAGACAGATATGAGTCACTTGGACACAAAAAGGGATCCATCAGGGCAGAAAGATCTGTGCAGAAAGACTTGTAATGTGAATGTAGACCAAGAGTTTCCTCGATATAAGCTTTATTGCTTGCTTACTCATACCAGTCTGCCTACATGCAGTTGCATAATTGCATACCAACATGGAATAATTGCTAAAATGGCAAATAATACCCATTTTGGTTTGTTCTGTATATCTTATTTGTATGTTAATGAGCTATCTTGCTTCTGGGGGAGGCGGCCGACTACCTTTACCTAGTGCAGGGATGGACTGGCCATTGATAGGGCCAGGACAGTTCCTGGTGGGCAACTGTGTGCTTGCGCCACTGAAAGAGAGTGAAAAAGAGAGAAGTGCATGGTCGTTTCTAATGTAGCTGTATATAACATGACTAGAGACCACCTGGGACAAACAGCTTGTGGCTATCCAAATATCCTATCTATAGTTTTATGTAGAACGCTACCTGTAAATATTCTGTACGGTAGGACATTTTTACGACATAGCTAAATTCGTAAGAACACCAGGCGAATACGGAAGTGCACATGTCTGCACTCTCAGTATGTGGCCATTGGCCAATCACACAAATGCTGCTGCTCCCAAATGAAAGCACAATGGTAACAATTGTGAATGTTGGGCTTGCTAGAAAGAAATTTGGGAGTGGAGGGGGGTGCATGAGGAAAAACATAGTACTTAAATAAGATGCAAAGATATGAAGAAATGAAAGGAAGCAATTTGTTTAGAGCTCAGGCTAATAAACTAGCTAGCTAACCAGCAGTCACTCCAGTTCTCAGCCAAGCTACAGTGTATTTGACATGTTCACGCTCGTGTATTCTGAAGAGGTAAACTGTATTTATTGTTCGAAAATATACGTCCACTCACTGTAACAATGATTGCAAGCTTGGTCGCGGTTTAGAGATCATGATTTTTGGGGGTTGTGTAGGGGGAACGTCACTGTTTTTGTAGTGGGCTGGTCTAACAAAAAATCTAGGGCCGAATTTACTTCCCAGTCCAGTCCTGGCCTAGTGTGAAGTTTATTGCTGATTATATCAAGTGCCATGTTTATGAGCAACATAATTTACTGGATATTCAAGTTCATATTGTGAATGTTATAATGTGTGCGTCTGTCTGCAGTTTAATTTCTTCAGATCTAAATCGTATGACGGACAGTGAGCGAGACCAGATTGATCAGGATGCTCAAATCTTCATGAGGACGTGTTCAGATGCCATCAAACAACTAAGAACTGAGGGTAACATACACACACATACTGTTAGACATGTATTTTCATCTCTTTAATATGCAGGCACTGACGATGTTTACATGCGCACAGAAGTCTAACGGCAGGTATACACTATGCGATTGTTCTTCTATCACGTTTGAGTCACCAGTCATGTATGGCCAAAGACTATGATTTATAAGTTCACACTGTATGAAAACACTTTGTCCACTTGACCTGCTGCGATGTGGGAGCTTACACTGCACATGAAATGCTGCCGCTACAGACAACTCTGTTTATGGACAGTTTCCACTAAAGATGTTATACTTAAAACAACAGTCCTGACCTAAGCATTATTGAATGTGTTTGTGAATACCTGGATTATGAGAAACAGAAATTGCAACCAACTTCTAAGACTGCACTTTGGAGCTGTAGAAAAATATCCCTGCCGAATTTTGAAAGCAAGTCTCCTGAAAAGAATGGAAGCTGTAATAATGGCAAAAATATTTAGTTGTTGAAGCTTTTGTGTAATTTTCTGTTAGATATATGTTTGCAATTTTTTTTTCCTGACACTGAAAAGAATGTGCACTTAAGTTTTGACTGGAAATAAACTAAATGAAGGGTAGTCTTTGACTGTTGCTCAGTACTGTACATGCTGAGGCTGACATGCAGAGATTTTCAGCTTTTCATGTGTGTTCTTGGTGTGTATGTGTATATATATGTGTGTGTGTGTGTGTGTGTGTGTGTGTGTGTGTGTGTGTAGCTGAGAAGACAGGAATTTCTGCTCAGATGAAGGAGCATCGTGGAGCTGTGTTGGACCTAATAGAGTCATATCTTAAAAGTAGGTGAACACAAACACACTTTCATAAACACAAGCACACGTAAGTGTATACACCCATATATGCACACATTTTACTTTGTCACTGTTTGCACACGTATAACTTCTCTTTGGTCACAATGAGTTTATGTACTTGCAAAATTATTGTGCGTATGTGTTTCTGCAGGTGTGTGTAAGCTGTACTCTGAGCAGAGAGCCATCCGGGTGAAGAGAGTAGTGGATAAGAAGAGACTGTGAGTCACTCAATAAAGCAGACTGAGCTTTAACTGTATCTGACTACAGCATGCACAGCAATATCTACCGTGTGCATCTGTTTGTGTGCACAGGTCTCGATTAGAACCAGAGCAGAAAAGTAAAGTGGAAAAACCTCCAAGCGAAGATGCAGAGAAAACACAAGCACAGGAGGAAAACAACGGTATATGAGCCTCTGCACGCATAAATTCAGAACAACAGTATTGTACAAAAGTCAGAGGCCCTTCATTCATGTATTAACCATTTCTGCAAGATTAGCTTTCCCCTTTGCTATTACTTTTGGTAGTTTGCTGCTGGTTGGTTTATTTGTAGTTCTCCTGAGATTTAAAATCTGTATTTGAATGAGAGGGCTACAATTATGAATTCTATCATAGCAATATGCAGTGCGTGAGCAGCTGAGCTTTAGCCTGAAATACTACAAATGGTTTGATAGGTCAAACAAGGAAAATCTACCAGCCTTCAAAAATAGTGATTAATAATTGTTTTTGTTAATGCATTATTAATGCATTAACAGTTAATGTATTATTAATGCATTAACAGTTAATGTATTATTAATGCATTAACAGTTAATGCATTATTAATGCATTAACAGTTAATGCATTATTAATGCATTAACTTCAACAGCTTTTGTTTGTGTTTTTTTGTGCTTCCAGACAAGCCGGTTTCTGATGGTGGTGTTGAATTGTGGGAGGACAGTAGAGTTGAGGATGAGCTCTCACCAGAGGAGATACAGATGGTAAACACACACACACGTGGTAGCATGTGTGTACACACTCTTTCTTACCAATAATGTCTTGGGCATCAGGCAGCACATCCATGACGATTTCATAGAATAGCTTTCAGTGATTGAGCTTTTAAAAGCATTAAACTTCTGTGTTTCCTTTCATAGCCGCTGTTTCCTATTACAATCATATATGTGTGCTTGTGTTTGTTCAGTTTGAGCAGGAGAATAAGAGGCTGGTGAGTGAGATGAACAGTCTGGTGGATGAAGTCAGGTGAGCTTGACACATACGCCTACATACACATTGCTGTGAAAATGCCACTCTTCTCTGGGTTCGCAATTAAAAAGTTATTAGCCTAAATGAACCAGGTACGAGACTAAGGTAAACAGTGAGAGCCTGTTAAAGGATGTAAAACATTCTATTCAAAAATAATTTGCTGACATGAAACATGAACCTGTATTCTCAGTGGATCTTTGGCTATTGTGAGCTAAACAAACAAGAATTGTCACTGTTCAAAGAAAAACAAGTCCAAAATGGTAACTTTACAAGAGAAGGCAAAACTTCTGTATTTTTTAATATATGTTAATATAAAGAGATTACATTCCAAGCAGTTTTGTAGTACACAGTGTAAAAGGTAGCCACTGAACTCATATGATGTAGATAATTTGGGACTGCAACAAAGTACTCTTAACTCAGTTATTTGTGTTGTATATAACAACACCTGCTACTCAAACCGCAGCCTAAAACTGCCAGAAGTCCTGAACCAGACTGCAAGATTTGCCTGAAAACATTTGTAGCCAGAAGGTATGATAAAATTGGATACCGTCCAACCCTTGAATTTATGTATGTTTCTGTATGTTTTTGTTTTACAGGCAAATTGAAGGAAAGGTGGTGGAGATCTCTCGGCTGCAGGAGATTTTTGCTGAGAAGGTTCTGCAGCAGGTGTGTGTGTGTGTGTATGTATGTGAGTGAGTGGCTTATGTCCATCCAACTTATTGTGTAAAAATACTCACTGTGGGAACAGTCCTAAAGAGGGTCCACAGCTTATCGATATGTACCAATCATGGAATGTTGCAGTGTAAAGTTGTACATAGAGCGTATCGGTCCAAGAGTAAACTAGCCTATATATATTCTGGCAGTAGTGGACATGTTCATAAGTGAAAAGCATATATGTCACTAATTGAAAATCACACAGCTACACACTTTATAGTCAAAATAGCAAGATTTTGTTACTGTTGACCAGTAACAGCAAGGAACATTGTTAATTATATAAGGACAACAGCAGAGTTTTTCCTATCTGCATAAACAATATGTATTCTAAAAGTATTCTGAATAAATTATTTTTTTAGTTACTGCAATGGAATATATTACTGAATCCATTTATGACTGTATTCAGTTTTCAGCCAGCACTACTTCTGTGTAACACTGCACTTGAGCTAACAAAGTAAGAAAACAACCTTTAAGATGGTGCTGGGGTTTCCCCCAAGAGTATGTAACTGGAGCACCACTGTGTCGAAGTCTGTGTATATAACAAATCTGTTTATTATTGTCCTGCAGGAGATGGAGATTGACAATATTCATCAGCTGGTTGTTGGTGCCACTGAAAACGTTAAAGAAGGAAATGAGGACATACGAGAGGTGAGAAAGATGACATCATACAGAGTGAGGACAAACCCAGCATTGTCATCTGAACACTCTTCATCAGCAGCATAACTCGATACTTTTCCCTAATACTGTTATGGATTCTTTTCATAATTTCTGGAGCATTTCTTATTAAGAAAAATTAGATCTTAGAATATTGCACTCTAAATCCAAAGCTCATAACCAGGATACAAAAAAGGTAACCATACTCTGTTACAGTTACAGAAAGAAAACACTAATCATACTAAAGATAGTTGATTACTAGCAGGTAGGTCTGTCAGAATTTTAGGTGATGATTAATTTCCATATAAATAACTGCAGTTAACTATTTATTCCATACATTGTGTGGAAGCACTTTGTATGTAGCCTAAAGTGGACAAACTGGCAAAAAGCTGTAAAAAGCGAATACTTTTTTACATCTTAAAGCTATAATTGCTACCAAAGGCTCAATGTAATTAATTATACCAAGACATGTTTTTATATCTACACAATGGACAGAAGTACATCATGCAAAAACAGTAGTAGCAGCTAAATCAATGCCAACATTCTGTCTGTAGTTTTGTCCATTTTAAAAGTCCTTAAGCTGAACTATCGCTTTAAACCCAGCTCATTTTACAGTGTGTACTTCAAAAGTGTTAAAGTATTACGCCATTTTCAGTGTGGAAGTGGATTCAGTGCATAAGCTTTATGTTTTTGATTTTTTTTTTTCGGCTCTTAGGCAATCAAGAACAACGCGGGCTTCCGTGTGTGGATCCTGTTCTTCCTGGTCATGTGCTCCTTCTCTCTACTTTTCCTGGACTGGTATGACAGCTAAGACAGGAAGTGCATCGTCATACAACTAGAACAGATGTCATCAGATGGGCTCTTTCAGAGAGACTATAAATTGTACTTAATCAAACTGTACCCAAACTGTACTTCACGTTATCTTGTAATGGCATGATGGACAACTCAGTTTCCCTTTAAATATAGCATTTAATTTCAGAAACCTGATCAGAGCAGCTTCAGTGAAATAGTGAAGGTCACCTTTAGAATTAATATTCCAGTCTTGGATCTGAACGTGAACGATCTCCATAGCTTAACTGCTCTATTTGATGAATTTAGAATTGAAATTGATGATTGTAACACTGTATCAGTGCTTTGTTGTGAACTGAGTGAGCATTTAGCAGAATGTTGTGATTTTTTTCCCAGCAGTCTCAGTCAGTTACCAAATCTCTGTTTAGGTCAATCTCTGCTGAAGCAACTGACCATTATCTTCTCTAGTGTTTCAGGTCAGCAGGTTTTCTGTTCTTTTCTTTCTATTTACAGGGAAGGTTGTGCAATTGTCATCTATGTCAGTCGACCATCAACAGAGTTGGTTGAAAAACATTGGAGTATTCCTTAAACACGTCTTCCTCTCTCCACCTCTCTTTTTGTTTGTGATTGTCCTAACAGAGAGATCATGATGAGACCATGGTGGATGGTTTGGTTTATTCATTTATCACTCAATAAACATTCTAGATCCAGCAAAAGACCCTAAAATGTGTTGTTCCTTGAACATTTCTTCTAAAATTAGGAAGTTTGTTCCTCTTTGCTGCAGTGACAGCCTCTACTCTTCTGGGAAGCCTTTACACCAGATGTTGGAACATTGCTGTAAGGATTTGACTGAATTAAACCACAAGATGATTGTTGGATGATTGGTTCTGGATCACAAACACCATTGCAGCTCATCCCAGCCGTAATGGATCGAGCTCTGTCACTCCACAGAACACAGCTCCACTGCTCCACAGCCCAGTGCTTGGGGGGCTTCATACCCCTCTAGCCAATACTTGGCATTGGGTACCACCATATGAGCAGGTACTATGTTGGGCGGTGGATCATTCTCAGCACTGCAGTGATACTGATGTGGTGGTGGTGTTGGTGTGTGTTGCACTGGTACGAATGGTTCAGACACAGCAGTGCTGCTGGGGTATTTTAAACACTGAGTCTACGCACTGTCCACTCTACAACTCCGAAACTTCGAAAAAGTTGGGATGCTGTGCAAAATGCAACTAAAAATAGAATGCAATAATGTGCATCATGTAAATCATATATTTAATTGAAAATAGCACTAAGACAATATATAAAATATATAAAAAAAAATTGTTTTTTTGAAAAGTTTTTTTCTTCCCAAGTTAGTATGGGGCATCAAAAGACTGGTAAATGGTGGTAAATGCTAAAAAAAAAACACCTGGAGGAACATCTCGCAACTTATTACATTAATTGGCAACAGTAGCATGACAGTGTATAAAAAGAGCATCCTAGAGAGGCTGAGTCTTTCAGAAGTAAAGATGGGGAGGAGTTCACCACTCTGTGAAAGACTGTGTGGGCAAATAGTAAAACAATTCAAGAATAAAGTTTCTCAACATAAAATAGTAAAGAACTTTTGTTTCTCATCATCTATGGTACATAATATCATCAAAAGATACAGAGCATGCAGAGAAATCTCTGTCTGCAGGGGACAAGGCTGGCCCTCAGACAGCACTGCATTAAAAACAGACATGATCCTGTAGTGAAAACCACTGCATGGGCTCAGAAAAACTTGAAAACCACTGTCTGTGAAAACAGCTCGTCACTGCATCCATAAACCCAAGTTAAAACTCCGCCATACAAATGACCTCCTCTGTGAAGGCCTTGCTTATTTCAGCAAGACAATGTCAAATAAAATTCTGCATGTATTACAGCATGGCTCTGTAGTAAAAGTGTCCAGGTGCTAAACTGACCTGCCTGCAGTCCAGACATTTCAGACAAACATTTATGATAACATTATGAAACTAAAACTTATGACAAAGGAGACCCCAAACTGTTGAGCAGCTGAAATCCTATATCAAGTAAGAATGGGAAAACGTTTCACTTTCAAAATTATAGCAGTCGGTCTCCTCAGTTCCCAAACGCCTAGAGTGTTAAGTGAAGAGGTGATGCAGCACATGCCCCAACTTTTTTGAAACATGTTGCTGGCATCAAATTCAAAATGGACATTTAGTTTTCAAAAAATAAAATTTCTTAGGTTCAACATTTGATATGTTGTCTTTGTACTATTTTCATTTAAGTATGGGGTTTGAATGATTTGCACATCATTGCATTCTGTTTTTTATTAACATTTTGGACAGCGTCACACCCACACAGTGTATTAGCCACACCTACCTTGTTGGCCCACCTTGTAGATGTAAAGTCAGAGACGATAGCGCATTTGTTGCTGCATAATTTGTAGTCATCCTCTAGTCCATCAGTGGTCACAGGATGTTGCTGGCTGGATACTTTTGGTTGGTGCACTATTCTCAGTCTAACAGTGACATTGAGGTGTTTAAAAACCAGCAGCACTGTTGTGTCTGATCCACCTGTACCAGCACAACACACACTAACACACCACTACGTCTGTAATTGCAGAACTACAAAGAGCATCTATACGGTAAGTGGAGCTGATAAAATGGAGTGTAGTTTCAGACGTAACCTTGGATTCATTAGGAATTCAGTCATTTCCAAATCCTCTTCTGGTAAAAAAAAAAAGTCAAGATACCAGCATCAAACATTAACTTTTTTTTTATTCAGTTTCTTATCTGTGTACATTTCTTGGTCAGCATGATACATCATGTTCTACCTTTTTCTCCAAACTTGGAACAGCAGGTGGACATTACAAACAACAGAATAAAAGAATGGTGAGAATAACCTGCTAACTGTAGTTTGAACCAGTGTTTCTTTCTAGAGTTCTACTCCAAATTGTCTAACATCCAATTAGCTACTGTCTCTGCAGTTTATGCTGTTATTATTCACTTCCTGTTCACAGGCTCAATATAACTGCTGCAGTTTTGCAAACTGTACTCGGAAAAATGTATCATGATGTCACTAGTCACAATGAAATATCATTATATTGCCCACCCTCTCATGACTGAACGATTGAAAAAATCAGGTCAGACTAGTTTCAGAAATTATCAAATAAATCTGGTAAGTCTGTCTGAATTAGGGATGGGATGATATAAAGGTTGTTTGAGTAGTGTGCGCATGATAGATGCTCATGTCAATTAAAAAAACAGCCAATTTTTAAGCTCAGTAGTTTTTAAAGAAGAAATATAGGATAGGATTGGGTATCGATATCAGTCGATACTCAAGGTTTCAGTATCAGTATCAATATCGGGGGGGAAAAAGTGGTATCAAGTCATCTGTAATTGTGGTATAATGAAAATATTTAAAAAAGCACTAATACGCTTTAAAATTGTTTCACCACATATATTACACTGATACACTTCTTCATTGAACACCAAAAAAAATCTATTACAGTTTAAATGAATAGAAAATGATGAGCAGCACTAGTAATGTTTACAGTTCAGATTATATCTGTATCTTGCAGGGAGACTGAAACTGTAGGCTGTTTACTTCCACTCTGACTTTTTAATTAATTATAATTTTTAAATTTGAAATATGATTATTATTGGCTTATATACCACGGTACATTATTATGACCGGTGTAGCAAGAGTAACTGATTCTGTTAAAAGTTAATGCATCATTTCTACCGAGCTTTTCACATATAAAGCTGTCAATGTTGAAAGTTGGTGCTGCACAAAGTTGAAGCTGTAGAAAAGTTTATCGAATGTTACTGGTTACATCTATGTTTAGTCTAGATGCAAAATAAGCACACGGTAGGTACAAGGTTTACCTTTATAAGGTACCAGAGATTACCAGCGTTATATTATCAGAGGTACCAGAGTTATAAAGGAAAAGACCGGTTCAAACATGAATGGGGAAGCCAATAATGCTCAACATGGTGTCTGTTTGCGGAGAGTCCCGCCCTTCAAGAAAAAAAGCCAATCTACTTGCTGGTTACGCAGTGACCAGGGAAAGCCCCCTCTCATTATGGAGATCTACGTATGTATACTCAGTAGGCAGAACAACTTGAAAAAAACAGTTTTTGGTTTTTGTCAGTTTTTAGCATTATTTTGGTCTCTCCCACTTCAAAGAGAAGATAATCTGGTGTTGCATGGCTGGAAATAATTGCCCGGTGCTGTTGCAAAGATGGCCACTGAGTGAACAGATGTTCCTATAAGGATTTTGAAGGTACCTACTAAACTGGTGATTCAGTGTAGCGTCTTTTTACTGCGGCTAAGATAACCATATTACCTGACATTAGAGAAGGTATTCTCTGTTCTCAGTGTTACCTCGAAAAGAAACCAAAGTGTTAGCACATCATCCACTAAGGAGAAAATAAGTTACCTCATGTAGAATTAGCTCCTAGCATTAGCTCTTCTAATAATTTAACCTACAGTGGCTACAATATTTACCTTGGCTTTGGAAGGTCCAAGGCAATATATTTTTAAATAATAAAAATCATATTCCACTGGTTGCTGCTGAATTTTTTTTTTAGCTTGTTAGCAGTTGTGCTACCACCTAAAAAGGTAAGCGTATTCTTGGTCTGTTGGTACTTTACGTAGATAGCTTGCACAGTTACAGCAATTCTCAGACCCAAAGTGAACGATTCTCAGTCGTTGCCATTCAGAATGCTATAAAGCCAACATAAAGATTTTAAGCAAGTGGGTTTGCTTGGTTCCGTCTTGGCTAGCTAAAGTCTTTCTAAACCAGACATGTCAAACTGGGGACCTTCCAGGCCAAAGTGTTGAGGAGATTAGCATTTACCCCTCATTTAACGCTCCGAGTTCAATTCATGAAGACCTTGCTAATTAGCTGATGAGCTGAGTCAGGTGTGTTTAATGAGGCAGTGTGCTGAAGTCTGCAGTGCTTTGGCTTGCAATGACTGGATCCTCACACCTGTTCTATACGGTGATATCCTCTTCTCCAGCCTAGCTAAATACAACCCTTTTGGAGGTAGCACTCCACAGAGCAAATTGCAGCTGTCATCTTTTGATGCGAGATTAGTCAAACATACAGTAAGCACAAGCAAACATATGCAAAAGCAATTTTAAGTGTAATGCGTTTACTTTTAACAGCGTCAACTATTTGTTATACTGGTAACCGTCTCACCCCTGATCTGAACCTGCACACTGAGACCCCTGTCTGTTTGTGTGTGTGTGTGTGTGTGTGTGTGTGTGTGTGTGTGTGTCTGAGAGAGAGAGAGAGAGAGTAAGTAGAGAGTAGTAGTAGTGCGTAGCTTGGACCAGTATGAGATATGTGGGGTGGTGGGGGTGTTGCCATAGTGACAGTCTAAACCCAACCTGCTGATGTTACAGTAATTCAAGTTTGCCAGCAAGAAACATTCAGATAGAGAAGCTGCACTTACACCAGGCGGAGCTTTGATTATCTGAGAGATTATCTGTGTGTGTGTGTGTGTCAGTGAGTACATATACAATACCTGTTAAAGTTTGGACACAGGATTTCCCTTATTTTCCTATCCACATTTTAGAAAAATGGGTCATTGGGTCTTCAAACTTTGAAATTGTCACACCTGTTACCTATAGGTTAGCAGGGCTAATAGTAACAGCACTCACAAAAGGTTCTTTGGGTTATGCAATAGAAGAACAATTATAGTTCCCTAAATTATAGTTCCCTATAGTTTCTTAACTTCACACTCACACATCTCATTTACAAAAATGGTTCTTTAGGGAACCGAAAGTGGTCCTTCTGTGCCATCACGCAAAGAACCCTTTCTGGCACTTTTATTTTTAAGAGTGAGAGTTTAGGTTTGCAGCTTAAGCCAGTTATTGTTCTACTCATGTGAAAAGCCACAAAATACACAAAATTTAATCAACTATTACATCATTCTTGTTAAATCAAAGCAAAAGGCCTGATGTAAAAACATTTCTTGTGAATCATCCTAATTTTATGTCTGTGCTAATATTATAAAAAGTCAGACACAGTTAGAGTAACAGAGCTGACTTGGGGGTTATGTTATTTTACTAATTATTTTCTCTCTCAAATACTACTTCAGACTCATAGTGTTGAGCTGTCTCCTCTCAGTGAAGGGATGGACAGAAACACCTGTGGATTATTTTCAGATCTGAAGCAAGATTGGAGCTTGATTTTCTCCTTGATTTGGTTGCCAAAAACAACTTGTTGAGGAGTGTTTCAAAAATTACATTTGTAAACTGAACATTTTTGCTTCGGAAAAACATTAAATGTATTCAGTTATGATTTTAACATTTCTGTTTGTCTCAGAAACAAATATCAAGTATTGAAGCATAAGCCTAATATCTGACATCTAAATATATTTAAGGTTATGCAGAATATACATTTAATCAGATGTGACCAAACTATTGACTGGTACTGTATGTACGTGCTTAAGCATGAAAGTGTGTGTGTGTGTGTGTGTGTGTGTTTCAGGCCAGGTTCTGCTCTGTCTTGGTCTGTAGCTGTGAGAGTTTTTCCTCGGCGGTGATGCTGAGCCAGGGTGAAACAGCCCGTGTAATGGTCTGCTTGGCCACGTTGTAGTGGTTTATGATGGTGAACAGACGTCCACGGCTGGCTGGACCCTGAGGGGGGTAGTAACTATATACCCCCGCTGGGACACACCGACTCTGCTGCAGGGAGAGCGAAGGAGGGCGAGAGTTAGAGTGATGCTTTGGCAAGAAATCAAATACACAATGCACTCAAACAGCCAAGAAATCTGCTTGTTAAGTTTTGCACTGGAGCTACGAGGCTAATATAGCTAACTAGTGATGAAAGCTTGTAGCCTACAGCAGGGGGTATCAGCTGGCAGGCCCAGCAAAAACTAAACACTTTAAAAAATATCAGTAGCAAAGCTGATTAACGAATGTAAAAAATGGTCATATTTCAGCTTCTTCAACGTGGAAATGTTAAGCGCTAGCACCAGTGCAAAACAAATCACTTCCAATTAACCTACTGACAAAATCCAGTTCTGACCCAAACCCAAAGTTCAACATGAAACGTCCACCAGAGTGGTTGTCTATATTCTCTAACAGCGCAAGATCATGAAATGCTCATTAAGAACAGCCTTTATAATTTATTTTACCTCATGAAACAAGAAGAATTTGTCTTGTGTGGACAGTTTTTTAAAAGAGATTTTAAAGATTTTAACAAACATTTTTAACAATAGCCAATAGCCATGCAATGGACTAATCACTGTTGATTAATCATTTATTGCCATTCACTTGTGTTAGTCTGTTTATCTTCAAACTTGTCAAGTTCATGAAAACTCAGATGCAGCTGTTTACGTGTTTCAGGTTTCAGGATGGCTGCAGCTACTGTTCAGCTATGCTAAATTTTTATAGATAGCATAAAGATAGATAAATGTCATACAGTGTCAAAAACCACTTAAGCAAATATATTTTAGATTACTTAAAGCTACTCTATGTAAGTTTTAGGGATTTGGAGACCTCTCTGGTGGAAATGTGTAATTCATGCAACATGTGGAAGAACATTTTATAATGTGGGTTGTACTTCAGACCCCTACCCTGAGTGGATGAGGCTGATGATTGTGAGTGTATTAAAAGAGAATTCAAAGATAACTTTGGAATATGGTGAATGGAACATTAGCAAATTCTCTACTCTTATCATCATATCTTCATCAATAAAATCCTGATTTTGAGATTATTTTGTCCCAATCACCAAGAAACTTTGTAGTGTTTAATTATAGCTGCTTGTTGTGTTGTTGTAAATGTCCAGAGCACATGGCTAAGTCCTTGTTACAGTAATACCACCACAAAGTTTGAGAAAGTATGATGTAATTCAGTAAAAAATAAATAAATAAATACATAAATAAATAAAAATCAGCATCATACTGTGTGTTTTGGACTCCACGTTTTACATAAATGGCTCAGCACATTTGTGCCCTGCTTACTTTGCTAATGCTAAATTTAATACAAAGATTACACCAATGAGCCAAAACATCATGACCAATCATGAATAAAGCAAATAACAGGATTATCTCATAACAATGGAACATGTCAAAGTCTGGGATATATTAGATGGTGAGCAAAAAATTGGTTCTCCAGGTTGAGGTGTGGAGAAATGGGTAGGCGTAAAGACCTGAGTGACTTTGACAAGACACCAATGATTATGGCCAGGTGCCAGGGTCTATGTGGTTGGCAGGAGTCGAACTGTCTTGACAGCACTTAATAATAATACAAATGACAGTGTATTGTTTATTTGTTTGTTTGTTTTTTTCAGATAAATAAATGCTTACTAACCATTAGGAACTGGAATATTCTCAGATGTGTTCTTTGGTTTCTTTCTCTCTCTGTCTCTCTCTCCCTATTTATCTATGAGTCTCTATTCCTCTGATGTCTGTTATGTTAATCTATGCGTAGGCAGCTATACCGCAAGCCTACTCTCATAATCTGTAAAGTGTTTGCTTTTTGCCTTCTGCTGCCGCTGTGGGACAGGAGGAGATTGCAGAGATACAGGAAATGGAAAGCCATCATGTGGTAAAATCCAATTAAAGACTGTGTGTGGGGAATGTATGTGTGTGGAGGGTGTATCACGAGGAACAGTCATGTCGTCTATGAGCTCTTGGCTTTCAGAGCGGCTAAAAAGCAGCTGAAAAACCGTCATGTTCGCATGTTCCGTCATGTTTCCTGTTGGTTGTTCTGCTCCACTGTGTAGGTGTAACAGAAGGGACTCAGGGCGACACATACTGAGCCTTTTGTGCCTGTTTGAGCTTTGTGTATTTTATGCATCATGTATAAATTTATGCGTACATGGTATGTCTCCTGCATACGTAAGTTAAGATGGTTTTGTGAGGAATTTTCTCCATTTCTTAAAACCAGGCCTAATTTAGCAGTACTCTCTCAAAGATTGTGTTGAAGAGAGATAGGAGTGGACAATGGACCATATTTTATTGTTATCGTGATAAATAATGTCACAACATGCTTTTCAAAGCATATTGTGGATATTATAAGTACTTAAAAAAACACTGACTACATGTTTCTTTACAAAGTAAACATAATTATGCCTGTTTAATTGGATTTAGTTTGTAAAATATTGAATAAAAGTCATTGTAGTTGTAGATTTTTGATGTGGTACAGGTGCTATTTTAACTGTTCCAACTAATTTAATCTTAGTAAAACTTATCATATACATATCGTGATGCACATTGTATATCATGAAAATGTCTTGAAGGGCCATGATATAATATTCTTGCCAAATCGCCCAACCCTAATGTGAGGCTTTCTTTAAAATTTTACATGAATTGGAAATCGTAACACATTTTCCATGTCAAACACGTTATAAGGGACAGTTCTGAAGCTATCTGAGCATTTTCGCTTGCTGAAAGGTGAGGATTGTAGGCCTATCACATAATCAGTTAATCACAATTATTTGAGATGACTGTAGTTATTCAAGATGATCAAAACTATTTTCCACTGTTTGCTGGCACAAACAGCATAATGAACTGGGTTGAGGCAAATAATTGTAAATAAAGGAGAACAGAAAATGTTTTCTTGAGACATCACGGGGCTAACTTCTAACTTGGTACTCTAACATGTTTAAAGAGCAATGCTCAGTAATGTTCATCTGTTAGCTATGAAGCTAATTCTAACATTTTAGCATTACGCTAGCAGAAAGAGCTTTTTGTTTTGCACGCACCATTGAATCGACAGTACAATCAGTGTAACTAGTAAAGTAAACCTAGCTAGCAAGTAAGATGTCTAATCAACCAATTTGGCCACTTCAGATTTGTACTTTAAAACAAACAATGAACAAGAAAAGTAAAAAAAAAAAATGAAATTGTTAATTGCAATTCATCCTCAGCTAAAATTTCACGATCATGACAGGTGATGGGAGGGGAGATGTGAAACATAATATTATTGCTTAATATTTTTCTCCTCCTGCTGATGCATGGCGGTCAGAAATCAGAAGATGTTTTAGAGATGAGTCATTATATTTTGAAAGAAATTCAATTTTGGTTTCAGGTTAACTTTAAGGAAAGAAGCGGTCACAGTGGATAAATGAAGGCTTAAATCTCAAAAATGTGCTGAAAGAATATGTACCAACAGAATAACATTATTTCTGCTCCTTCAGATTTCACATAATCACTGCTAAATTATTAATTATTACTTTCTAAATTCTACTTTTCTTTTAGTTATTACAGTTTTACACCCATGTAGAATGTTTTGATGGGAAAAACTTAATTTATTAATTCTTTGTTCACTGCTCCAAAGTTACACTGTGACATTTAAAGGGAAAATATGATTTTTTAGAATTTCTGCATAATGAAATTGTTTAATGCTTCTACAAGTTGCACATTTATTACATACAACAAATGCGAATATGTTGTCTGATGTCAGAGATGTTTTAGGATAGTGACCATTTTTGTGTTGTAGACCTCAAGACCCCCTGGTTCACCACTACTGTAAAGAAATCTGAGTTAGTAAATTTCTCTACATGGACGCATTTCACATCAGAACACTGTGAATGACTCTGCTCACATCTAAACAACTGAATTATGCAGAAATTTTGACAAATCAGCAGAAAGACTGCATATGTACTGTGTTATTCCCAAGGCAGCTCTTTAATCAGTTTGTCCTTCAGTTTTGCAGTTTTTGCAAAGAAAAAAGGGAAAATCTAAGCAGCTTTCCATTTAATATGTTAAGCTCCTGCAACCCAACAAAGAAAAGCTGCTCACTTATTACAAACATTTTGAAAAGCTTGTGCTTTTGGCTGCATGGCTGAATAGTTCAGTTCTGCTAAATAGCTAAAAGTCTCCCTAAGTGTGCGCACATGCTTGCAAAGTTCTTACCACATAGGTGAATCCATCGGGGCAGGGCTGCTCGTATTGATACACCTTAAACACGACAAGGAACACCACACACACCAGGAATGCCAGAGCACACACCACCAGCAGAGCCATCTGTACACATACAGACACAGCAGTCTATTAGTCAATCAAATACACATGCTGGCTCGTATTAGGCTGCATTCAGACGGTGGAGTGTATTCTGCCCAGAACGGCATAATATCCTATGGAAGGACACGGACTACCACAGGCTCCGTTTGTTCCTCCATGGAACACAGATTTTTCTGTGTTCTGCGTTACAGACGCAGAATTTTTGCAGAATGTGCTCTCCCGTCTGATTACAGCCTTACTGATGTCAATTACAGTATTCCATTGCATTTGATAAGCAACTCACCATTAAACACTGAAAGAAATGAAAAATCTAATTACATAATTTCTCCCTTACTCCAAATGTAGTTGATCAGCCAAGACATGTTCAGCATCTGAAGTTTGCTTTTTTAATTTTAGACTAGAGCTGTAAAGTACTGGGAGCTTACACCTCACCATTTAGCACTGCGCAAACTGCACCTTAATCGTCACATACTTCTCAAACTAGGGATGTGCACAGGCAATTAAGTACTCGGTTGACCATTCAAGGTGCCAGTACTCGAATACTGAACTCATTTGCTGCTTCAAGTCGTGTCTGAAGCAGTGTATTATTATTATTATTATTATTATTACAGAAGAGTGCACATAAATGCCACCACAATGTCATAATAACTAGGGGCAAAATTAGATTTTTCGATGAGGCCTGACTTTCTGTGTTGGCAGCAGTTTGAAAAGATGTTGAAAGTTGAGTTGTTTTTTTGTCAGTAGCCACACATGAACAACGCAAGCCAAAATCTTACTCTAAACACATGAAAATATGAGCATATACTATGCAATGCTTCTTACGGCGTAAAAATCAATGAACTAGTCAAAAACCAAGAGCATCCTCTGCTCTATATTTTACTACAGTAACCAAAAAACAAAGAAGCAAAGGAAAACAAAAAAGCATTTTTATTATTATTTCTGACCAAAAACATTTGAACACGTATCATGACGCACTTACAACTTCCAAGGCGTAAGTAGGAAATTCTGAGGAGGACTTTTCAACTATTCAGCTATTTGTTACATTTCATCACAGGAAAGTATGGGGAAGCAAGCATGTGTTAGCCCTCACACTCCCAGCTTAGTAGCATTAAGTGAACATGGAGACCTAGCTAACAGACGGAATGACTATATTGTGTAGAAAACTGGGTAAAAATAAAAATAATACAAATATAGCTACAAGTAGCATTTGCAGACATCTTGATGCCTAAATTTTGTTAGTAATTTTGTCCATTTTAATAGGTAACAGTATGTCCTGTAGTTGCACGTTAAGGATGCAGTTACTTGCTAGCAAACGTGAGACACGAAACATATCTGTGCAGATTCACTACATTTTAGATAAAGAGGAAATGTTTACATTTGTTTTTTCCCCAAACTATTCCTTTAAAGGCCTTGTCAAGCCTAGTGTGCAGGGCGCTACTTTATTCACGACTGAACAGAGAACGGGCAGCTTTTCTTCTCCTATACTGAAGTCACTGAGCTGTGATCCGAGCTGATGAATCAGCAGAGGATATTTTTGAAAGAGACAAGAAGAGCGTTTTCAGTGACAATGAGGGTTGCTTTGTTCTGCTATGCCTGAGCTTGCTTTGCTTTAAAAGTGACTTTCAGAAGTGTTTACATGTGTGTGAAAGTATTCAAGTGTTGTTCCTTTGTCTCTTTATATCACATAAGTAACAGGTATCTGGTTTGTTTGCAGCAATAACAGTACAAGAGCTGCAGGCCTGCTGTCTTTTGTGCAGAAGTATGTGTGCGCATGTGTGCGTTTTTAGCATCCAGGCAAATCTCCAAGCTCAGTGTGAAGCATCTCAGCAGATAAAGAGCTCACAGTAAGGCTGGCAATGACACAAACACACCAACACACTCTTCATCCACACAGAGAAACACACACATATGCACACACACAGATTATGGGTGTAAATATCTGACCTCACATTGATTCAATTCGATTAGAATTCATTAGAAAACAGGTGGTTACATCACAAAATCTCATATTTCACCATGATTGGATTCAATCAAAAGGGCCACTTTGAGCAATGCCACACAAGAACCACTTTCTTTTCCCTACAGAACCATGTTTGAAAAAGAGATCTGTGAATAGGAGGAGCTTTTTAAACATAAAGTGAAGGTTCTACACTAATTTAAGGTTTCTATCAAGAATCTTTTACATTATGTGAAAGTCCTTCCCACTCACATCTCATTTACAAAAACAGTTCTCTAAAAAACCTTTCATTGAAAGGTACTCCATGGAACCAAAGGTTTTTCTATGGCAAAGAACACCTTTGTTTTTCATAGGGTTGCATCTGAAGTTTGTTTTTCAGGCAACAGACATAAAGGAATGGCCAGTCTTTTAGGGTCAGCCTCAACACAGATACCAGACTGACGAGTCCTGGCTGAGGAGCTGCCTGGTTCAGTCAGCTACATCACACAGAGTTATGGTCTCTGTGCAAGTTACAGACCAGCTGGTACTGAGGCATAAATGACTAATATTTTCCAAATTCCAGCAGTGACTGTCGGCTGGAAGCATAAGTATGAGGGATGCACATATGACACAAACAAATTGAGAAATTGCCAGGATGTAGCTGCCGCTCCATTTAAGGTGGAACACAAAATTACAACAAAAAGCTGTCAAATAAAAAGACAACTTGAGGTTTGTAGAAATTTAGCCACAACTCAACATTTAGCACTATTTTTGCCAGAAAGCAATTTTGACATTGTTTATCTCTTATATTATTCAGGTTTTTTTAGATGTAAAGCACCTGATGGACCTGGCTTGTAACTCACTCACTCACTCACGTTTAACAAGACCACAGGGGGAGCTACTGGCATTGTAGACACGCAAGAAGTGTGTGCTTTATAAAACTTTTTGGGAACTGCATGCTGGTGTACTGCATCAATTACACTTGTTACTTGTTGGTATTTTACACAATAAAAATATTTCAGATTTACTAAAAATGGTTCTTATTAAAAAAATGAAGGGACATCCCAGAAAAATAAGCCTCTGTTAATCTACAAAAATAGGTTTCCTTAAGCATCTAAAACGGTTTTATTTAAAAATATATACATACCATGATCTATACCAAAACCATCAGAAATTTAAATTAATGTGATGTAAATATTTGGCCATACTGCCCAATACTTCACACTCACACTGAGTGTTGTGATGTTCCTATTTGTGTTGCTCTTTCTGTGAGGTAGTTGAGTGTTTGAGCAGTTTTACCATGATGGCCTACCTTTAGATGGTCAACTTAAATGAAGTGCTTCAGTTAAAAATAGCTCATTTTAAGGCTTAGTAGGTTTTAAAGAATAAATATCAGACTGGTATTGGTCAGTATACAAGGTTTCAATATTGGTACTGAAAAAGACGGTACTGAACCATTTTTAGTGTACACTTAATTGAATAGTACCATAATTAATTATATCGGATTCTAGCAATCCAAAACTGATGCAGCTATATATCATGACTGTCCAAAGAAAAACACCTCCAAAGCTCCAATCTCCAAAATGGAAAATTCACAGGAGAGGGCAAAAATTTCTTAACTTTGAACGTAAGTAACATGGTTTTATTCCAAGCAATTTTAAAGCATTTTGGTCTATTAAGCATAATATTTTTACACAGTGTGAAAGGCGGATGAGCTCCATTTATGTAGAAACACTAAACATCACAAAAAAAGAGAAGATACTTGTTTTATTGGACAGCAGTGATATGCATATACCGCCTGTGTGCTTAACCAAACATGCTGCCAAGCTGCTAATTAAGAGGAAAAAATCTGGACTGTCAAATATCTCACAGTTGCTCCTTCTGTTTCCTCTCCTCTCTCACTTCCTCTCTCTCTCTCTTTTTCTTTTACTGCCTCTCAGAGATGGAACAGCGTTACCTAGTAACCAAAACCAGTTGGAGGGGGTCTCAAGGGAGGGACACCGGATGCTGAAAGAACACGCGCACACACACAGTCTTTCTCCTCTCACAGTCCTGTTTGTTTGTCTTTCTCGCTCAACAAAACAGCACTGATTGCAACTCAGCAGAGCTGCACAATATTACTAGTATTGTAATTATGTTGGAACATATTGCAATTGTGATATTAATGCCTTGATTTATCCAAACACTCCTCTGGAAATGTGAATGGCCACTGTTCACAGTACAGAGTAAACAAAAACACTGTGATTGGTTAGAGGGTTCATTTGCGTATTGAATACTAAAAGGCCAATACTGCGATAACGATTAACAGATGATATATTGTGCAGCATATTCTCCTCCTTTCTCCTACTTTCTTACTTTCATCCGTTCAGACACTCCGTCCACGACGCTGATTTTTGGACGGAATTTCTCCTTTTTCCTCTCCTCGCTGTAGTCCGCCTTCGTCTTCACCACCACCTGATGCACACAGTGACACCAACATTAATGTTTCACTCTCTGTGTGTATGTTTCACTCAAACAGGTAAAAGTCTCAGGAAACACAGTGTGAAATATTAAAAATGAGTCTATGAGTGTTACAATAAACTAGTTTTATTCAACCGAAATAAGTACTTTGAATGAACAATTGTTTCAATCAAAGTTATTATTTGTGTAGAATAAAAGTAGTTCAATTGCTTGTCACCACATGAAGTAATTGTTTTAGGTTGAACTGACAAAATTCACTGCAAGTTTCTCTGACAGAGACACCGTGAGGCGGCACACAGTTTTGTTAAAGCTGTGTGGATCGGGTAACCTCCAACAGCCTTATGATTGGTACAGATATTGCTTACATAAGCCTTACCCAACATTAGGACCACCTAGTTTATATCAAAAGAGGAACATTTTGGCAAAATTCAATGATTATTGAACATGGAAAAGATATTCACAGGACATCCTTCGTACATGTATATTATGTGTCCACAAGCGAAAGATTAGACTAAGGAAACACAGATTAAGGTTTCCTTGGGCTTTAAGGTTGCTTCAGGTAAAGTGAAAACTAATGTTATGAAAAACCTCTATAAAAAACAGCATTACAGCTGCATGTTTAGCAGTAGCAGGGTTAGCGATTTATTTATATTTTTTATATATTTTTTTTTCCTTTCAATATTTTTGGCTCTGTAGCTATTGCTGTCCTTTACAGCAAAATTATCTCACTACATTTTCCCTCCCTGGACAATGAAAAGTTTATAGGAGGTGGACATAAAAGATGTAGTCGCATATGAGTTATGGGAAAGGAACAAGAGAAGCAAGGAGCAACATTCCTCTTCTGTTTGTGCTAGACATGGACCAACACAGACACCTACGTCGCACATCTAAAAAGTTTTAGACATCTTTGCAACAATTTCAGATGTTCTTATGACCCCTATCAACCTTGCTCTGATTATGGCTGTTTTGGCTGTCCTACCCGAGGATGTCTCCCTTGCTAAGAGGCTCTTCTTTGGCTTATGTTAATCATTGTTTTTACAAATAAACACCCTCTTTTTCTCAACATAAAAATAGCATAAAATATTATTTCTAGTTACTGCCATCATATTGTAAAACTTTTCAACAGTTAAGGGATGTTCTAACAGTGGCTAGATTATATGTTACGTCCCTAAAAACGAACAGCTTTACACTCATCAACTAACCAGCAGTCAGATAAATATTTAAATTTTGCATTTCATCAAGCATGTAGTCAGTTTTGGCATCACTCCAAAAGTGTTTTGCTGCCATTTTGTGGGTGCAGTGTTAAATGCTGCTTGCTGTTTCCAGGACAGCACTCTGTTTTCACAAACTAAGAAAACCTAAAGAAATCAGAGTAAGGGTGTACATGCGCTGAAAAATCTGATTAGTAGGCTAAAATCCAGCTCTCGTAATCAGATTTTTAGAAATCCAAAATGGCCTTAATCCTATCTAAGAAATTGGAGTATGTTGTTTACATGACTGCTTGAATAATGAGACAAATGCCGAATTTTACATTTTTGGCGTGCATGTAAACGCACTCTTTGAGAAAAATGAACAGCTCTGTCGTGGCCTGTGGTAAACACAAAATGTTACATTTTGTCCTATGTACATTTTCCTTCGGAGTGTCACTGGATCCTTTGAGTTATGAGGTCATTTAGCAGTCAAAATATGAATAATGCTACATATATGCTATTAAAATTCAATGAAAGGAGTTGCATGAAAGTTAGTCTACTATTAAATGCCAACACTGTTAGATACCAACTCCAGCTACTTGAACTGTAGCCTACTATGGCCAAAACAACTGAAGTATCACACTTGACAAGGCTAACTTATTCTCATAGGGTATTTTGGTGAGGCTGCGAGCCACTTCAGTGAGAGATGCTATAAAGAGGAGAAATATGAATAGGAAAGCTTATAATGCTCAACATTGTGTCTGTTTGTGGAGAAGGTTTTTTTTAAAGAAAAAGAGCCAATCATCTCGCTGGTTACACCATGAGCGAGGATGCCCTCCCCTTGTTGCTGAGATCTGCACAAGCACAGAGGCCAGAACAACCAGTTATTGAGCCAAATGCTACAAACTATTTAAGAGGTTTTTGTCAGATTTTCCCAGTGACACCAAATATGTTCTTGAAACAGTAATTTGACCTTCAGTTTCAAGGTTTTGAGTCGCTCCCTATTCAAAGCAGTAGGAGTCTGGTATTGTACAGCTGGAAATAACTGCCTGGCGGCGTTGCAAATATGGCCACTGAGTAAACAGACTTTCCTAGGACTTTGCATTAGCTTGCATGTAGCAATGGATTTATTTTTTTGTAGTGCTGTAGGACTTGAATCCGGTCTCAAGACCATAAATTAATGGTCTTGGTCTTGTCTCTGCCTTGACATCACTTTGACTCTGTCTTGTCTTGGCCTCAGGGTAGGGTGGACTCGAAAATTGTTCTTGAGACAAGCCAAGTGAAATGCTTCTGTCTGAGGTAACTGGAAATGGAACTTTTTTGATCTTTACAGAATATCAAGAGTCTTAATCTGGTCTTATCTCGGTCTCACCGCTCCTGGTCTTGGTCTTGACTCAGACTCATCTCTGATGGTCTTGCCTACAACATTAGTGTTTTGGCTCCTGAATCACCTCACAGTACAGTGGATCTTGCCACATTCAGACGTCCATATGGCGATGTCCATACAACAAAATGTATCAAAAAAGACCAGCTTGGATTTGGAGTTCATAATATGGGTGCGACGCCGACCACAGAATGATAACACACCTTCAGAGGTCAATAAAGCTGTAGATAATGAATAGATTTTTTCCTTGATTTGTATTAAATTAAAGGGAGATCTTGTAAAAATGACTAGAAACATTTATTTAACATTTTTAAATAAACCATTCACCTCCATTCACACCTATTCATTGAGGACTTGCTCGAGCACACTCTGTAGAGTTTGCCCTCAAGCTATTGGTATAATGGCTTAAATAGGAAGGCTGCCCCTAAACTGACTATGGTACTTAAAAAGAAACAACAGATTAGGCAAACCCAAATTATGATTAGGTGTGAATGGGTGGTGTTATTTTTAAGTAGCACTATTGTCCAGCCCTAGTGTTGGACATGATGGTGCCAGAGAATGTGTAGAGAGGAGAACTACCATTCAGTAATGTCTTCTGGGTTTGTCAAACACTAGAGGGCGCTCTCTAGCGAGTTCAAAATGAATGGGGTAATACGGAGCATGTGAGCAAAATCATAGTGTGCAAATGCACTTTATATTGGCACCTCATATACATCCATGACCTCAGTGAGTGTGAACCACATCACTCAGCCAATGAGCTGACCAGGTCTCCAACCAATCAGCACTCAGTAGTTGCTTTTTTAATGAAATTCATCCTTCTGCTTTTTAAAATTAAACAAAGGTCCTGAACAAGTGGTTAGAAACTAACTCTTCATTTTTAGCCGCTTAGCTCCATTCACACCCATTCATTTAGGACTCACTTGTGAGCACCCTCTGGCATTTTGCACTCATGTTTTTGATATAATGAGAGAAATAGAAAGTGGCCAGGCTCCCCTTAAACTGGCCTCTGGCATGAACACTGTGCTGTGGAAATGGCTGTTGCTCAGTGGCGCCTCACCGTGTCCGGCGGAGGGAGCTGCAGCTGCGCAGCGTCCAGAGGAGTCATAAGTGGGATGGTGTCAAACCCCTCCTCCGCTCCAGTGCTCTTCTTTTCACTCACTGTAATCCCCAGCTTCACCATTTTGCCGCCCACCGTGATCCTCTATCTGTAGACACACACACACACACACACACACACACACAGTGTTTCTCTAACCTGCCAATAATTCCATGCAGTGAAAACACAGCTGTGCTGGTATGTGCCCTCTAGCGGTCACGCTCAGAAATGCACACTGGTCAGTTTACCAGTTATTGTTATTATTAGATAAGAACGACCTAATTTATAAAAAAGGGCTAAAAACTCTGCATATTAGCTTAAGAGTCCAACTCCCTAATGATGCATCATGATGCACAATAACAGTGATGCACAATGATCCAATATATGATGCATCGCCAAGCCCAATCATACAGTGATGCACAGTCATTCACTGTGATGCAAAATCATTCACTGTGATGCACGATGTTGCACAGTGACATACAGTCTTGCACTATGACGCACAACATGTATGTGTCCAGAAACGTGGTTCACAAATACATCCCTCCTCCAGTGCTATGCTGTTCACTGGAAGGAGCCCTTATAGTTCACCCCCATCGCGCTCCTACCTTTCCAAGAAAGCGCTTCCCAATCCCGCACGCTTCGTTCCCAGCCGACCCGCCCGGAGCTCGTGCTCTGCTGCGGAGGACTTCGCGCGTCCTTTGTGCGTTGGGAGCGCTGGTGGAAGGTGTGTGTGAGTGTGAGTGAGTGTGTGTGAGTGAGTGATGTAATGGCCTGGCGAATGAATTTGCCTCAACACAGCTAGGGGTGGAGCAGCGAGCTGCGCTTTAACAACGCAGATGCACACTGGCAGCCTCACAGGCATGAGGTTATTATGCGTTATTGTCACTTTAACAGTCTTTATTTCTGAAATCTATCTAATCATAGTCATTATTGAGGTACAGAAAGTATTTTGCTGACCGTTTAGTCTAGCCCTGAGGTAACTGAGACTCCAGGCAGCAAACACTTTTGCTCTCTAATTAATATCTAAACAACATCAAAATGTAACAAAAAGTCAACTTGGCACCAACGCTGCCTCAGTTATTTTTCAGTCCATAGAGGATCCTCTCACTACAGGTAAATTGTTAAACCACTCTGCTTTATCTCCAGCAGGGGTCACTTTTAATACTCTTAAACATTCTAAGAACATTCCAAATGTTCTCAGAACGTTCCCCCAAACCTTCCATTTTGGTTGTGGGAAATAAACATTCTTTTAGGTCCTTTATTCAGATTAATCGGCTAACAGCATCACAAGAAAATGCTTGCATGCATAAATCATCACACAATTGCCTCAAAAGACATAGACTGATTAAGTAATCTTAAACAGACTTGCTTATGAGGTTTATGACACTGCATGACATACTGTCATCTATAAAATTGGGCAGTATCACAGCTGAAAAACAGTAGCAGTAGCCATATTGAAGTCCATCTCGAAAATCAAATCACTTGTGTCATATCACATTTACACAGGTGTGAAGGTGAGTGAAGATCTTAGGTGCTCACGTAGCACAGTATTAAATACACAAGATATACACACATTAGCAAACATACTACAGCACTATACTTACATGATATACAGATATAAATATACAACATAGTAGGCCTATGTTATGATTCAGACACAATATTACTTGTTAGCTCCCCACATGGCTAATCGACTACAATGGGGTAAGAAGAAAAACATTCAAACTTTGTCCAATTTCTACTACTGAAATGTTTGCACACTCTATTTACAGTATTCTTTTACTCACTACCAGTTTGCAGTCCGTTTCATTTCTATCATGTATAACATGTGGCTTCCCATTTTGCACTTTATCTTGTCTTAAATTGTATTATGTACCTCATTGTGTATCATTGACTTAAACACACATGATACCACCAAAGTTCTTGTGTGGCAATAACGCATTGAGAGATATAATACTGTAGAATGGGTTTCTTTGTTTTGGATAGTAGCCACTTGCTCACTTCCATGTGCCTTCATCATAACGTAAGGTATTATCTCTCTCCATTACTCTTCCTCTCTCTGGACTGTACTATGACACAATGTCCTAGCTGGTATAAGTGCGTTCTTTGTAATTATCCCAGTCCCGCTGGTTGCCAGGCTGCATTGGCCCAGCAGAGTCAGGCAAACGCACAGAGGGACAGAGCAGTAGAGGACACATCATCATCAGTTTAAGGTAGTGTGGAGACGGCTGAAAACACGCTGTGCCTTTCTTTAATGTGGGAAGCTAATTGTAGGAGGCAAGGGAATTTTGCCTCTCACTGTCACAGTAGACTTAAGGTGAACTGAGGTTTACCTTAAAGGAATAGTTCAGCCAGTCTGATCCACACAATAAAATCTAATCTACACATTTTTCAATAAGACATTGCTGATATAATTTTGCACTTGAGCTACGACGCTAATGTAGCTAACAAGTAATGGGAGAGTAAAGCCTATTAATTAACACTGCACAAGCAAACTGACCTAATGTGAAAGAAATGGACTTCAAGTGGGCTACAACTAATATTTTTAACAAATGTTCTTTTGCAAGTCTATTTGAGATTACTTAACAATGTTTGAGACAAATCTGTGTTGAACTATGCTAGTGTAATGCAAAATGCTAAGCTTCTGGTACATGTTAGCTATATTAGCTAATGAGCAGTAGTTACATTAAATCAGATATATGCATTTTTTTTGCTACATTTCTAAATCATTAAGATGTTAAGAAAGTTTAAAATGATCCACTTTATAAACCTTGAGTCAGAATTGTTTACAGCAGTGGTGATAGGAACCAGACATCTGAAACGTTTAAGGTCTCTAAAAGCTAATTTAAAGAAATAGTTACAAATATGGTGCCTGACGCCCAAAACACTGTTTCACAATATTTTTGATATAAGGCTTTGTCCTAAAATGTCATTTTTAAAAATACATTCATAGCAGAGTGCTACATGTAGAGCATCGTAAGGCAAATTAATACCCAAAGAAAACTTCTGTTTAAAAGATGTACCAGTATTTGCCATTATCTTCATTACACAAGAATAGGTAATTGGCCGTATTTGCATAGACATCCTGGCCTGTGGTTCCTATCACTACCATTGTAGAGAAATCAGAGCAGTTATGCTTCTCTAGCATGCACCATCAAACCACTCTGAATGACTTAGCAATTGAATTATGCAGACATTTTTGAATTGTAATACTTTAGCTGAAGTATATTTGTGAGGAAAGTAATCATCTTTTTACCATAAAGACCATAAAGCAGCCAGTACTACATTGTGAACACATTTAATGAAAGAAATTCCATACGAAGCAATCCCTGAGAGGAAAATCAGTCACTAGAAAAACAAAATATTGAAATGGAATATAAGATTCATAAGATAAGTTTCATATCTTCATATTCATAACTGGTTTTCAGCCCTTAGGATCAATCAATCCTCAGGAATGACTTGGAGATTGTTATCCTGTACTGAAGGCTAGAATTACTTGAGCTTGCATTTGTGCGTTTGTACATCCATGAGAACTGGTAGGTAGATGAACTGATGCACTGTTGTCTCTGTACCAAGGCCTGTAGTCAGAAGCCCAAGCTTTTCTTTGTCCATATTATATATAATCCACATTCTCCATAATATATAGTTCTACAGAGCTATATTTATGTCATTGAGGACATGTCCACAACCAGAATGTAATGATGTAACTGGAGATGTACCATAATGTCAGACTCTTCCTTTTGCAAAGGAAAAATAATTATGTAGGCTAATGATAGCGTTTCGCTTGCTAACTTGTTTTGCTTGTGTTATAACTTGAATTATTAAATGTACTCTGGATGTGAAAAGCACACAGACAGCTGTGGAAAGCGGGGGCATATCCTTCTTTATGGCAAATTTCACTACAATCCAGCACTACACGTTTAACTAGAAGGGGAAAGCTTGTGAACGAACTTGCTTGACAAAGCTGTTGCTATAAAATCCTATGGTATTACTAGGCTGCTATGTAATTCAAGGTGGTTACTGAGGTGGTGCTAGGCTGTTGCTATGTTATCCAAAATGGTTCCTAAAGTAAGGGGAAGGGTGCTGATATGGTATCGAAGGTCGTTGCTGAGGTGTTGCTTGGCCATTGCTATGGCATGCCAGGTGGTTGCTGTGGGGTTGCTATGGGCCCTGTGGGACTACTGCGAAAGTGTCTTTGGCAAAGTAAACTCAATCTTTCATTGATCCATGTCGCCATCACTCTGGAGAGTTTTCATGGCCAGTCCCCAAAGAGCACCGCTAGAGCAGAAGCCCTCAGAGCTCCTGTATGGGGTGCTGTGTATCTGAGAGCTGGCCGTACTGTTGCTGCTGTTGCTACGGTTGGCCAGCGGGGGGCTGCACTGTGCCTCTGGAGCCAGCAGATGGGGTCGGAGCGTGGAGACAGAAAGGGCGTGAGTTCTGTTCTCCTCACCGGAAGAACCGAAGGAAGGGTCAGGGTGGAGGGTAGGTTTTACAGGAGGAGGAGCCTTCTGGGGTGTTGGGAGGGGCTTAGTGAGAGGGGGCGGAGCTAGGAGATGGTGTGGAACAGCAGAGCGCAGCTCCGAGAGCGAGGAGTGTGAGTGGAAAGGAGTGCTGGATGCAGGATCAGAGAGGGGCACGGCAGGTCGGCAGGTTCCTGAAGGGGGCAGTGTTGAGACAGTGTGGGGAAGGGGGCGTAGCTGAGTCTTATTCCGATTGGATGGCTGAGGAATATTTGTTTGTGTGGCTGTGACTTTGCTAGCATCTGCAGTGTGTGGCTGTGTTAGCCTGTTAGCATCTGTGGTGTGCGGCTCCATGAGTGGCTGTGTAAGTGTGTTAGCGTCTCCATTGTGTGGCTGTGTGAATGCATTAGTGCCTCCATGCGGCTGGATGTTAGAGTCACCTCCGTGCGGCTGGACAAGTGTGTGAGAGTCACCTCCATGCGGCTGAGTGAGCGTATTAGTATCTGCTTCTTGAGACTGTGTGAGCGTGTTAGCATCTGAATTGGCTGCAGGCTTGCAGTGGGTTCGGTGTCGGCGCAGCACTGCTGTGCGTGTGAATCCTTTTCCGCACGTGTCACACACATATGGACGCTCACCTGTGTGTGAACGCACATGGCGCTGGAGATCGCCCGACCCGGCAAAACACTTACCTATGAACACACACAAACACATCAGTTAGACAGAGAGAGAGTCTGTCCCTTTTAAAGGTGCAGAAGGTAAAATTAGATCGTTAGTGTTTACAAGGTGAAGTACAATAACACTTACTTAGTGACCCCATCTACCATCCCTGCTCATGTACAAGGGCATGAAAAAATATTTGCTGATTTCTTCTGTTTTTGCATATGCCACACTTGTTTCAGATCTTTAAACAAAATTGAATATACCACTGAGTTCTCTGTGCCCAAGCTCATCTCAAATGGTCCAAAAGAGTGGTCACTTGAGCAGTCTTTGTGACTGAAGCTAATGTTCCAACAATGAACTATTAAAGTCATTTAGATCTCTTGCCATCTTGATCCAAAATCAAGGTCAGCTGGCTTGCTCTGAATATTTAAACATGCCACATAGCAAACTAAATTCTTAATTGTATAATGCAGTACATTTTGATAACATTTTCCAATAGATTTGAACAGTGGAACAGTATTTGATTACGTCATTAAAAAGACCACATCGCCATTTTGGCCAGAAAGCTGTGGCTCTGATAGAGCTCATCTCATCACTGTTACTGTATTTACGACCCTGCAAGTGGATATAAACCAAGCAAAACAGACTGCAATGACCACTAAAAAGATATAAAGACATGCAGACGCTTTAGAATCCTTAATCAACAAATACCTCAAACCTTTGCTTGGAGATGTTTAACTGTTACTGAGCAGTTAATGTGCGACACAACAGTGCTATGTCAGCCAGTAAGATGCGTTCAGCAGCGTTTAACGCTGCGGCTCAAACCACACACTTCTGTGCTTCACCTACTACCCAAAGGAGTGCACTTCTACTGGTACATGCGCTACTTTTGCATACTATTTAGTGTGCTAGTATGGTGTTTGGAATGTGAAAATAATAATGCTGTGGGAAATCTCAGCCGTTTAAATTATAGCTTTTGTTTGTCATCACTACAACCACAGATCACATAAAATCAAGTCAGTACCCTCAAATACACTGGTTAACGTGCCTTAAATTTTTTTAAAAGGTTTAAAACATGTTTTACTGCCTTTGCTGGATGGTTATGGCTTTGTTAACTCATTAGAAACAGCCACAGCACTGCTGAATGAACTTGCCAACCAAAATGGTGGCGGCGTGATTGTGACATCAACGGAATACTATCAATTCCAATTGCTATAGCTGATGATGTCATAATGCCCTTAAAGCTGATTAGTTGAGGTTGTGTAAAGTGTCTTCTACTGCATACTGCTCTCTCTTTCAGCCTTTTAATGGCTTTTCAACCACCTCACTTCTCTTTTAATTACAGTGCCTGCAAGAGGAGCACTGTATTTTTATCCCTATTATGCTTTTCCTTTTCCTAACGCGATTAATACAGCTCAACTGGCTGAACTGCTTGACTTCATTCAACCACAGTTTCGTAGATAATTTCAGTGGGATGTGTGCTGTCTACTTTTCATTCAGTTATGATCATAACTTTTATACTTTTTAAAATATTTCAGTTAATTACTTTCCCAAAGACTTCAGTTTTCATGCTTTTCCCCAGTTCTTTCTTTTATTCATTCTTTCCTTTGTTCTTTCTTTCTTTCTTTAACTTTCTTCATTCATTCTTTCCTTATTTTTTCCTTTTTTCTTTTTCTTGCTTCTTTCCTTTTCCTCCTTTCTTTATACATTTGAATTCTGTGACTCATTACACAGAAACATTACATTATTATAATACTAATAGCCTTGCAAGCACTGTATTTCCTTGAGGAAATCTAGTTAACTCCAGTTAATTGACATTAAAACAATAAAATAATTAGGTCTAGTTCAAATTTGTGTAATCAGAGAGAGAGAGAGAAAGAGAGAAAGGCCCACCGCATGTCTGGCAGCAATACGGTTTTTCCCCAGTGTGTCTCATGGTATGTTTAAGAAGTTTTCTCTGCATGTTGAAGGATTTGCCGCACTGCTCGCAGATGAACTCTTTATCCGAACTGTGAGTCTTCTTATGCTCCTTCAGATTACTGAAATTACTGAAGCCTGAACACAACACACAAACAACCAGCATAAAGACACACAGGATGTTTGGTAAGACATTGGAAAATAAACTTTATATGGTGTGTAGGTGCTTAATTTACATTCAAACGAATATTTCACAAATCTACACAATTCTTTCCTAATCCTAAACCTGGCCCTACCCTAACCCTAACCGTAACATCAACCCAAAACACAAACCCCTTACCAAATCTGATCCAAACTCTTAACTCTAACAGTTGAGAATATCACATCCAGACATGGACGTATCTATACAGGGCTATAATGTACAATCCAAATAAAGTGAAACCAGATTTTAATGAGCAGTACTTTGCTAATCCCCATGTTACTCCAACAGTACTTCATTTACTGTATCACTCAATACAGACATTCCTATTACAAATGATTTTTTCAACAGAGTAGTATTGCTTGTAAGCAAGTTTATCCATATATATTTAGGGTGCTGACCTCGTCCACAGATGTCACACAGGTGAGGTCGAGCTCCTGAGTGTATGATGATGTGACGCTGAACATCACCTGATGCTGCAAAACTGGGAACAAACACAATTTATCTCACCATTTGCTTCAAGAAGACTGCAATAATCAGTTGTAATGTTGGCCTGAACAGCTTTTCCCAGGCTTCGCATAAAATATTTGTCGGCCCAGATGTAGTTGGTCAGCATGTGTGGTGTCTAAAATTTGCTTTTCTAGTTTAGCACTGGAGCTATGAGCTAACCCTGCTAACAAAACACTATAAGCCAATAGTCACCCAAATCTTTTTTTTCCTTAAATGCATTCCCGAAACCTCTCCCAACCACTCAAACTGCATCCAGGTATTTGTTAACACACAAACTGTTTTAGGATGCAGTATGACTTACTGTGAACTATAAAAATGTACAAAACCTCACAGTTTATCATTCATTCCACCTATAATTTTTTCATGTATTAACAATAACTCTTCTACCTAAAGGCCTTTGCTTATTAAAAGTATGATTTAGGCTACAGTATATATGTATTTCATGCTCTAACATACAAACACTCAAACACTGTTACCTTTTCCCACAGAGCTCACAGATGTAGGGCTTCTCTCCTGAATGTCGGCGGAGATGTGTCTGTAGGTTTCCTGCCTGCACAAACAAATACACACAATGAGATTATGCAGTTACCACTACTTGTGGAATAAAAATACCTCAAACTGATGGAAATCTTTCCACACCTGAGAGAAGCTTTTCCCACAGACATTACACTGAAATGGTTTCTCACCTGTTGACAAACACAAAACAACTATTAAAATTTGGACAAAAGTTTTGTGCAAGACCATTTGTGTGATAGAGATGTGTGGCAGACCCCTGTTTGTCTGAACAGCAATGTTGTGTGTGTATATATATATGTATGTATATATATATATATATATACACACACACACTGAAATAAACGAATGCTGCAACTATTCCATGTTCCATTTAAAGACATATTACAGTGTACTTTGGTTTAATATTACTGACACCACCCAAAACAAACAATATACAACACAGCTACTGCAGAAGCATCTCATACAGTGCAATAACACAGCATTTAAATATCTGCATTTAGGAAAATTATTACACTACACAATCACATCATTCGACTGTCTTAAATACATTGTTTTTTCACATTTTATTTTTTCCAATTGTCGTAATTTTAAATCTATAAAGTATGGTCAGCAGAGGGAGCAGTGCCTACAAGCACAGCTGCTGGCTTAAGAGCCGCTGAATGCTGTGATTTTACTGGCTCTCTACCGAGATATCTGCATGAATTCGGACATGCTTAATGTAAATGAGGTACTGAGAGGCTGGCGCTTGATTTCACGCACTGACAGTAACTTATCATTTGCACTCAAATCTCCGCTTGTTTCCACATGGTACGGAAGTTTCATGAATCTGACGCAGAGTTTGTACGTCATTAGAGGCAGCCAAATCAGCGCTCTATGCAACTTTGACGAATAAGAGCCAATGTGAGAATGTGTGGTTTACCAGTGTGTGAGCGTTTGTGCAGCTCCAGGTTGCTGGGGTGTTTGAAGGTTTTCCCACACACTTCACAACAGTACTTATTACTACTGGTGGTGACCCCTGACCCATCTTTCTGGCTTTTCGAACGGGAGTGTTCAGGCTGGGGTGTGGGGGGGCTGGGTGGCTGGGGAGCCAAACTGGGCTCAGGTGCTTCCGCTGACTCAGAAACCCCATCATCCAGGGGCATATCTGAGCTGACATGGGCTGGCTGACTTTGTGTCTCCACCTGCTGGACTGTCTCTGCATTGCAGCTGTCAGTCACCTTGTTCAGCTCTGCATCCTCATCTAGAACATGGTGAGAGCGAAGGTAGTTAAACTTCTTCAGGTACACAGCCTTTTTAGGTCGCAGGGCCCGTGGGGCTGGGGGGCTTTTTTCACCACCTGTAGGGGGTAAATGGGTGCCGGGGTCAGTAGGTGCCAAGGGCAGTGGGTTCAGGACCTCAGGACAAGAGGAGGAAGTGGGCACAGTAGAGTTGACACAAAATGTTGGGGTCTGTGACGTCATTGGCTCGGCTGGGTGAGATAGAGCTGTGCTTCCAGCATCTGAAGGCCCGGGTGGCAGCAACTGATTGGCTGCTGAAGAGGATATAGCTGGCAATGACTGGTTGGCTGGACTTGTATTCTGCATGGTTTGACTGGGCACATTTGTGGGCACATTCTGTAGGGTCTGATTGGCTGCATTTGCAGATGTATTCTGCAGATTCTGATTGGCCACATTTGTGGCAGTATTCTGCAGATTCTGACTGACTACATTTGTAAGAGTGTTCTGCAGATTGTGATTGGCTACATTTATGGGCGTATTCTGCAGGGTCTGATTGATGTTATACTGCTCCTCCACCACTAGAGGGCAGTGTGTCTGGCTCAGGCTCTGGGCAGCGCTCTGTTTGAAATACTGCTTACTGTAAAAGTTTCTCAGCTTATAACCATGCAGAGGCTGCCTCTCTGGTAGCGCTACCATGTTATTAGGTGTGCCTGAGGTGCCAGGGGGTGGGGCTGGCTGGGGCCGTTTGTATTGGATGGGATCAGCATCTGGATTTGGGAGAAGTGGGTGCTTGTGGGGGTCAGAGGTGGGACAGTGGTGGTCAGGCTCAGGGGGCAAAGGGCTCCCCAAAACACAGTCTTGCTCATGGGACAGCAATGTAGGGAGAGAGAGAGGTGGGTCACTCGATGCAGCACTTGGCTTGAGGTATGCATTGCACATGCTCAGGATGTTGGACACCTGCAAGCAGAGATAGAGAATAACAAATAATACAAATCTTTAGGACAGGCCTGGTGCCAGGAATGGAGGAGGGCAATGCACCCTGAACTGGAATAGGCTATTGTGCCCCCATAGCTTTGTATTCCCATTTTGTCGTGCAAAGTAACTGCATTAAAACCACAGACGATATTGCCTGATTTGAGCTTATCAAACAAAGATAAACACTATGAACCGTATGGAGTTCAGGACCCAGTCTGAGGAACAGAAACGCAAATCTTACTTACTGAACAAATAGGTTTATTTAAAATATCTGTTACTAGTTAACATTTATTTTGTTGTTCTGTGTAGCCCACTTGTTAATTATTTAGCTCCAAACTCCTAAATATTCTCTGCTTAAAATGAGATACAAGATATATGCAGTATATATATGATATAATATAAATTCTATAGATTTATTGGTAACACTTTATAATAAGGGTACATGAACTGGCAGTAATTAAGGCATTTACTAATTAATAACTAATCAGAAAGTAATGAGTCATTAATCAGGAACAAATGAATAAGTCATATTAACAACCACAAGACTAAATTACTAAGGCATGTACTAATGAATGAGGATGAAGGTAATAAAGGCTTTATTCAGTGCCTGAATTTATTAGGAATTCATGTGTTAATTAAGCATACAAAAAGAATGTTAGTACACATTGGCGAACTGCCAGAAGCTCTGTTAGTTTCATTCTATTCATGCAATTTATGATTACCTATGCCATACTGCAATGTCATACTGTTACAACAGAAACATAAACTGTTGTATGTTTAATAAACAGTAAACTAGTTTATTTACTGAAAATAGGCATTTGATTTAATTAAAACTGTGAATTATCTTAATATATGCCACAGTTATTCTGAGAAATACCACCTTCAGAAAATGAAAATGTGTTTCCCATTATACATCTATTATTCTTTTTAAAAATTTGCTATATCTAAATGTTTTATTAATGGAAACACAGCATTTTGCAGTGTAACACTTCAACTGTTCTGCAGCTGGAAATTACTGCTATTTTTCTTCGCCAGTAAATGGCAGTAATTGCATTAAATGCTATATGTCAAGCGGCCATAGAGACTTGAGTGAATATCTCCAGTACAATGTTTAAGAGCAGCGAATGAAAATAATTGAAATAATAAAAAGAAATTTCAATATTTCTCTTTTTGCCTTTTTGCAATATTTTGCATTTTTCTTACTTTTAAAGGTGAGTTATGCATATGCATACTTTATTATATACGTAATTTACATTGCAGATATTATATTTACATGTGGTATTGTTGTCTGAGTGTTGTGAGTGCTAGTATGTATGTTCATGCCTCACCTCTTTTTAGACTTATTTGTAAAACATGCAGCTGTTGTCTGTGGTGGAACAGAACGGATTTGCAGGAACTATTATTTCTAAATTCGTTATAAAGTAGCTTAAATATTTGGTTTGGTGCTTAGTTATTTGCAATAAACCTTTTTGGATTTAATAGTAAGGTTTTTGTGTTTCTCACGAGCGTCGTGTGATTGTAGTAGTAATATGTGGCGTCAGGCACGTCTATTCTGTCTGGTTAAAATCACGTGTTAATTTCATGCTGCTTGGTTCATTTGTTATTCCTCCTTTGACAGGGACTCTTATTGTGAAGGGCTATGTGTGCGGTGGCAGTGCTTCACAGGGCCTAGTAGTAAACAGACTGAGCCGAGACAGCGAGAGGGCACGCTAACTGCCGAGCGCTAACCTAGCGCCATATTCTCCCCTTTCTTTTGTACTCCGTTCTGAGCTTTTCAGTAAAGATCTTCAACTTGTGTGAGTTATTTGGAAACACCGCTGCAGTATGAACATCTTTGTGACTTTAATTAGCTAGCAGTTCTGTCCGTTTTACAGATGTTTGTAGAACTACAGAACCAGTATGTATTGGTTTCTCTTCATTTTCCGTGTTACAGTGACATAGTCACGTGCTCTAGCTCTGTGTATTGTGTAGAAGTCATAAGATGATAATAAAATATGCTTTTTCATTCCTGTGAATTTCGTCAATGTCATGTTTTCATATGAGCCATACTGTAGCTACTTATCCTTCATCACTTCTTGAGAGGGCAAAAGAATGACTGTCATTTTGGTAAGTAAAATTATTAACCCCTGCTATTTTATTAGCTCATGAACTCGTCATGAAGAATTAGTATATAATCAGTAATAAATTGTGATTCGCTCATCACTTTTAGGGGCACAAACATGAATTCATCATGAAGAATCAGTATTTAATGAGTATAAAGTGTGACTGGTTCATCACTTTACTTTAGGGGCACAAACATTATGAATTCATCATGAGTTATCAGTAATCACTGCTTTCTTTATAGTGAATTGAGAATTGACACTGCGTAGTTTTGTATTTTCTCACTCTGACACATCTCAACCAGCACAACCGGAGCTTGTAAATTAGTAGTTGAATTCAATCAGGTGTACTAGATCTGGGAAAGCACAAAAATGTGCATACAATTAAGGATTCTTATGACCCCAGGAGAAAGACACTCCAATAATTAACTCATTTCTGAGTTCAGTGGTAACTGTAGGCTAAACTATTCCCTCATGAGGCACTGTGTCTCAATACAGGAGTTAAAACATGTCATATTATTAACATGAAAGATGAATTAAAACTATGGCAACTGTCACAAATGAGGACTAGTTGCAAAACAATGTCAGTGTAAGCTTTTAATTTTACTAAACAGTCACTAGGTGGGTAGAAACAGACGAGGTAACATAAGAAATCAAAAACAATAAACTCGAGACCTGACAGATAGAAACAGGCAAATACAAGGGCTGCTTACACAACATGATGAAGAAGGACAAGATGATGAGAGGATGGAGCTATAAAAAAAAAAAAAACAGTTGACTTTGATAGGCATAATATTCCAGAGCACTGTGTCTCGGGCATCTTGTGACAACATTAATTAACACATGAATTCCTAATAAATTCAGGCACTGAATAAAGCCTTTATTACCTTCATCTTCATTCATTAGTACATGCGTTAGTAATTTAGTCTTGTGGTTGTTAATATATGACTTATTAATTTGTTCCTGATTAATGACTCATTACTTTCTGATTAGTTATTCATTAGTAAATGCCTTAATTACTGCCAGTTCATGTACCCTTATTATAAAGTGTTACCGATTTATTTAATAATCAAACCTGTAAGGAGACAGCGTCCTCTGCATTTTACTGTATACTCGCATGACTTTGTATCACGTGTCATGAAACTATTTAGCCAGGAAGCATGTCTGTACATTTTTAAATGGGGAATTTGCTCTGTTAAGACATTGCATTTGGACTTATTTGGTCATAATAACCTCAGGAAAATCTCATTGCTATTTGTTTGAGAAATTTACTAGTTCATGAAGAGTAAAATTTGATTGTCTGTGTGAGTGTGAACATGTCCTCATCAATACAAACAACTCTAAAAGAATTCCAGCCCTTCTAATTAATTACAGTGATCAGCTACTTCATTAAGTACACCCTTTTGTTTCTACACCCACTGTCCATTATACAGAACAGAATTAGCTTATTTTTCATTTTACCAGTTTAGGAATGATAAGTTGGGCTTTGGAATGCAAGGAAATGAAAGGAAACATTAAAACATTAGTTCTGCTCATTAGTTTCTGAGCTCTGACTGACGTATATGAGTAAAATTGTCATGAAGTATCATGAATCAGTCATAGGTGTCCAAATACTACTGGATAAAACAGATCAGGGCCAGTGAGGTTAAGCAAACAAAATGTTGCACTGCTGGAAATCCAGCTTTGTTTGGGAGCATCTCTGGCAGTGATTACAGCAGTGGGTGTTTTCGTGATATACCTGTAAACACTGTGCAATATGCAGCAGCGTGTGTGCGTTGTCCTGGTTCAGTTCCAGGTGGGACGTGTACATGTAGTCCAGAATCTGTCCAATCCCACCCACGTCCTGGATGGCCAGGTGATACACGTCATTCTTTAGCGCGGGAGAGTTCTGGAACAGAGACCTAAAGAGGCACAATAAAAACACACCAATCAAACAATCAAACTGAATCTGATGAAGCTTTAAAAAAAACTGCACAGAAGCCTCAACAACTAAATATATCTAATTTTATAAAGGACCTAGTCCTTTATAAGCAAGGATAATTACCCATTAGCAGTGCCTAAATTGCCTAAATCAATGCACACTTGCCTCAAACCGGTACATCACTGTATGACACTGTTATCTTTAAAAAGGACAAAAGTACAGCCAAAATTAGGCTTCAAGACTGCTGTTGGTACTCTTTTAGCTTTACAACATACTTGGGTTAGTCTACATAGATAACAGTCTGTCACACAGTGCCAGAAAGCACATAAGCAAGTCTATTTGAGATTACTTAACAACTCTGTAGTTTGAGGCAAGTGTAATGATTTAGTCAGGCAGTTAACAATGTTAATTGGTTGAAATAAGCTCCCATTACTTGTTAGCTACATTAGCCTTATAATGCAAAACTAAAGAAGCGAATGTCAAACACCAAACAAGTCTTGGCTAACTGACTACATTTGGGTAAAAGGAAAACTGTACAAAGTCGTTTCACTCACCTGAAATAGGAGCTGAAAGCGGCGAGGACGTTTTTGTGAGCTTTGAAACAGACACCTTTCACTACCAGCATGCAGTCACACAGCAGGCCCTGAATCCGCTGCTCCTGCAGCTCCTGCAGCAGATACGCACTGTGGCTGTACAGCCCATCCATGGCTGGCCCACAAACACAACAGAGTCCACACTATCAATCCCCATTAAGCAGCACCAGATCATAAAAAAGGATTATAGTTAATACTTTAAGATTTTGAATGTGTATGTATTTGTTTTCAATCCAAGTTACATTTTGTTAAAGCAGTGTTCAGAATACAGATATGTGTGTATATATATATATATATATATATATATATATATATATATATATATATATATATATATATGTCACATCAATTCTTCTTTATTAACTAGTTTAAAAAATCTGACAAAGAAGTAAAAAAAAATCAGCTTCTTTACAAACACTAAAGTTTCTGCTAAAGCCTGAGAAGACTGATAAATCAATGTAAAGAGTCAGTTATAATTCTCAATATTACTGAGCTCTGCTAAAGCCTGAGTAGAATCAATGTGATGATCAGTTATTAATCTGAGTGTTACTAGGTTCTTTTGAAGAATAATCAAACTGAACAGCCTTCTCCTCCTTCTTAGCATTCATGCTGTACTGGACTCATACATGCACTTCGTCGCAAGTTTCATACATGTCATTAATTGTAAATCACACAACTTTATAGTCAAATTTGCAAGATTTTGTTATTGGGATAAGGCCATCTGTTTGCTGAGGTTATGAGACTACAGTGGGATTATGGGAGCAGCAGTGGACTGAAGCAGACAGTGAGAGCCTAATGATGTTGATAATTTTTAAACTTCATTTAAATAAGCAAATGAAGAAAACTGTCAACCAATAACAGTGAGCAACAGTGTGAATTACATAAACAGTGAGGATTAAATAATAATGACAACTGCAGTTTTCACAGTTTTCCAATGTGCCTTATCAAAATGCATTATGGGTATATTTTGTTTTGTACTGTGTGCTTATTGGAACTCTTAGAGCAGCTGTAGTAAACTTAAAACGGGTTAAAGAGAAGTAGATTTTCACAGTGGTCATTCAAAGTGGTTTGATGTGAAATATTTCTGTTCTAGAGTAACTTACAGAGTAAAAATTGTTCACAGTGGTGGTGTTAGGAACCAGACGTCTGAAGTGTTCAATGCCCCTGAAAGCTCCCTCATTTTTTAATACATCCATAGCAGAGAGGTACATGCAAAGTGTTCTTGGGCAAATCAGTCCCTTCCTTTTTGATTTACCATTATCAACATCACATATAACAATTTAGAAGACACATGTAGGTTCACAGGTGGTTTTAGATAGTTACTAAATGGTTATTTTTGGGTTGTAGACATTGCAATGCCTGGTTCCTATCACCACCACTTTATAGAATTCCAAGTCTGTAAGTCTGAATGACTTGTTCACATCCTAACCATTTAATTATGCATGGGACTGACTTTGAGAAACAGTGGTTTTCTTGAGGAAGGCAGGTGGTATTCAGCCTGTTGTGTGAATACCCCTCTATAGCAGGCTGAGAAGTAAAAGCTGTAGAGGTTCACAATTTTGCACTAACCACAGACCAGGTGGTTCCTCATGTTGAAATATAATACACAGTCCATTTCATGCAATTAAAAAGAATCTTCATATCACATGAAGCAAGAAATGTAACGTGGTCTGATGTAGTTTAATGCATGAAGCTTACTAACTTAAACGTCAAGTGTTCAGCCTGTTTTAGGGGCTGCTGTCTCAGAATCAGAGGTACAAGCTGGACACAGCTCTGCACCAAGTACAGCTGAGCCGCGAGAGACCAGCCAGGACAAAGTTGGGTTTAAGCTTAGCCAAACTCGCTAATGCTAACGCAGAGTTCAAAACATTTACAGCTTCTTTATCACCACCACACAAAGACAACAGCAACATACAATCGTTTGCTTGTTATACAACAATAAAAACCGAGCATATCATTAAATACTTCACAGCTGTTTGCAGCAGGTAAATACTTACCTTTACTTCGGCTGCACAGCCACTATGGAGAAACCATTACGTCACATCCTCCCACTGATAGCACTAAATATGAATGTGACTAAATATAATCTTCTTTACTTCTAAATGCGCATGACATATAAAACATTATATTATATACATATTATATATGTGTAAATACGTTTTAAATGGTTTTAAAAAAAACTTTAAAAACAATCGATTATGGGTTGCAGCTCCAATGTTACGGAACCATAAGTGTTTAGTGAATCTACACGGAGGGTAAAAGGCGGTGCACGTGTTGCCGGCGTGGTTTTGAAGTTTTTCTGCGTTCGCTCGAGATTAACAGGAATTTTAAAAATACTGAATAGTTTGAATAATTCCTGCTGTTCTTATTAAGTGTAGGAAAAGTTGCACACTTATAGGAAAAACGTTTGAGCTGCATAATCAGCGTAATTAGACTGTAGTTAGTACCACATTATAACTGGGTCCACCTTAACCGGGTAACTCAACCTACTTTTATACATGAGGAGGTAGAAGTGTTTGTGTGTTTGGATCCACCATGGTATTTTTCACATGTAACTCGTGTGGTGAGTCGCTGAAGAAGGCGCAGATCGACAAACACAAGGGCATGTGCAGAGGATGTACATGTTTGTCTTGCATCGACTGTGGAAAAGATTTCTGGTAAGTATTTAAATGTAGGTATTTCTGCGTGGAATTCAGGAGCTCACGCTGAAACATGTGGCCTTATAGACATTTTGTATCGATCCCCACGAAAATCTGATATATGGCAATATATGGATTTCAAATATATGAATGAGCACATATGAGCACATATGGATTTCCCTTATATTCAGTCTACATTTATCACATATGGACATATATGTGACTTATATGCCAACTTATTTGAAATGGGCCTTTTTCAATTATGGACATGTATGTCAGCCATATACCAACATGTTTAGTTAAGAATGACAAACATATAACGCATATTTCTAACAACATGTGACAGAAAACATTATTTATATATAAATGACATATATTACTTACATGCTAACTTTTCATGCATCTTCTTTGCTTCTTCCACATACTTCCTGATGAAGTGAAAAATAGTAAAACAGCTACTTAATTAAACTCTAAAAACATGCAATAAAATCATTAAAACATTAAACTAATGGAAGTTTTATCCCCTGACACATTTAAATAATTTAACATTTAAAAACAAACAGTTAACAAAGTAAACAAAAATAACTATTCTGGAATGTATTCAGCCATATCAGACATATATGTATGATCCATATATCATGCGTATGTCTAATAATTGATACTTACATGTATGTACACAGCAGATAATATCTTAAAATATATGCCTGACCGTTTATGATATATGTGCATATATGGCCATATTTTTGATGTCTGTATGGGTCAGTGCAGTTATTAACTAGTTATTTTTTTTCTCTTGCCAAAAGGGGTGAGGACTATAAAAGCCATGTGAAATGCATCACTGAGGACCAGAAGTATGGCGGTAAGGGCTACGAGGCCAAAGTCCAGAAGGGTGATATGAAACAGCAGCAGTGGATTCAGGTGAGTACCTATTTTCTACTTATTCTAGCATATGTATGTCGGTTGGCCTGATCATTTGCCCCTTAAAATACCAGGTTTGTTCCATACTAAGGCTTCTTATTCAGTAACTAAATGGACTTCAGTGCAAAGTGGTTGAAGTTATAGAAGTGTGTAATAAAACTTTGGGCCCGCCGGTGGGCACTGGCCATTTAAGGTGTAAAGGGATATTCTGGAATAAAACTAGTATTGTTTCTCATTTTGTGTAAAATTCTAAAGTGCAGCATAGCATCCTTCAGCACTGTAGTTGTTGTTGCAATATTGTATAAAGACAGAAAATCAGTAGAACAACAGAGTCACAATTTAATCTCCAACGCAGTGTGTTTATTTACGAATCATGGCTGGGGAGAAACTCCTGAAACAAACCCAGTGATCTCCACCTGAAACAGGAATTACAGAAAGTTAAATAAGGGTGAACCCCAAAAAAAGGGTGCTGTTCCATTTAATTGTTCAACAGAGCACAAAGAAGTTACAGTCCGTTGGTTACACCTAACTGTGATATGAATAAACAAGAGTGTGTTAACACACATACAAAATAAATGAGAAGGAAGGAAATACTTCAAAATACTGGGTCTCTGATGTCTGTTATCTTAAAGCTGTGCTAACATGCAGCCTCAAGGCCATAAACATCCTACCATCGTGTTATCAACTGGATGGTCTTCAGTTGAAGGAACAGAGAGAAATTTTCTACACAAATGAAAGGAGGAGATGGTCAACTCCTTCACTTTGTAGCACACCAATGCAAAACCCTTAAGTTAACCACCAGGACCACACAGTTTGCGCATACACAGAGAGGGCAATGAGAGTTCACTATAAAATGTATTGTGATTAACTGAGGAATCAACTATTCATATGTAAAATTAGTTTTTGTAACCTTAGTGGTTTAATAGTATTCATGATTTTGTTTCGTTTCTTGCATTTCCCTCCATCAGTGTTCTTTCACTACAATACCCAACATGCCCCTGCCAAAATCCCCTTTGTGCACAGATATAATGTTAGCTATCTGCATAAGCCAGCAAACAGGAAATAATAGAGAGACTATTGTGGCACCACTGTAGGGGGTGAATAGGCATATTAATGACACAAGTAACAATGGTTACTACTGGCTTTTTTATGTGTACAATTATAGGTAAAAGCCCATGAAGCCCATCTCTCATGTACAATTTATCAGTCCACCAAGAGTGACTGTCTGGTCAGAAAGTGTCACTGATGAAGGCAAAAGGATGGCTCGCACAAATTGTGTATCAATAGATGGGCTACAGTCCCCAACTGTACTCTAGCAAGGTGAAGCTGCAATGGAGGGTTTAAAATGACCCTATAAATGTATATATGTTGTATATTATATATAATATTATAGTTTAGTACATATTGTCTTTAACTTGCTTATACGCATCTCTGAGTATGTATTGTATTCTGAGCTGGAATCTAATTTCATCTTTATTCCCATAGAGAATACAGGAGGCCATGAATAAACCAGCAATTAGTCCCAAACTGAAAGACGTGCTAAATCAAGTCAGTTCATATGACAATGTTCCGAGGAAGAAAGCCAAGTTCCAGGTATTTGTACCAAACAGTGCTGTGTTTCATATTCCATTCCTTGCTGTCCATGTAAATTATTTGTCAATTAAAGATTATTTAGATTATTAAGCAATATTAATAATTTTGCTGTATGTTTTTGCTCTTTCTTTGCCTCAGCACCTCGATCATTAAAAGTTTCTTCTTTGTGATAAGTAATTCCTTCAGTTATGGTACAATGAAATATCACTCTTAATGCTTCCTGTAATGCATTTACAGTATTCTGATAATGTCACACAGTTGCGCTGCCACCTTTTTTGTAGGCAACTTCAAGTTGATTTGGCAGGGCAGTGTCAGTTTGTTGAGATATCAAAGCCATAACTAATTCAGCAAAAGCAATAGAACATGTCTTATGAGGAATGCTCACTTTAAAAACCAATACATTTGAATGTACTGCCTTGATTTTATTTGATTTGATGCTGTAGTGACAACAAATGAGAGCTGAAATCTAAATGGCTGAAATTTCCCAGCTGCGTCCCATATACTAAACCATATATTAGCACACTAAATAGTAAAAAACAGTGCAGTACCTTAAGAAGTGCTCTCATTAATGTAGTCTAGCAGCTCCAGTGGCTGATTAGAGCTCTGCTGTGCTACCCATTAGCTGCTCATTAAACACTTCCAAGCGTAAGTTTTCAGGAATTTTAACCTTTGAGGTAAACTGTGTGTCTATAGATCTTTCTGTGACGTAGAGTCTGCTTCTTATTTGTCAGCTTATTTTTCAAATTTTGTCCTGAATGTCACAGCTGTATCAGTTAAGGTGGAATGGAAATCTGAAATCTGAATGGATCTGAATAAGAAACTGGCAAATAAGTTGCCAACTCCAGCTTAATCGTGTTAACAATTTAAGAGCTTTTGCAGTTTTGGTAGCCAATTTTATTAGGTTTTGTAATATCTCATGCGTTGGAATGTCCCAAGCTTGAAAGGTGTGCAGGTTATTCACATCCAGTCCACCAATCAAGCTTATCCTCTTCTTCTTCTGTCCTGGAGATTGTATTTAACGTGTCCACACATCTTTTCATCTTTTTCATGGTCATTTTGATCTATTTTGTTCACGAGACAATGTGTGCTGTGAATTGAATACAGTTTGATTTCATGCTATAAAATAATGGTGGGCAAAGGGTGGTAGACTTAGTGCTGACAGAGTCCTGACACTGCTTAACATGAGGATCAGGTACCTGTGGTAATACCTCAGATATGCTAACTCATTTGTGAACATTCACCCAAATGTTTCAGTGACCAGAGTGTGGAGAAATCACTAAGCTAACGTTAACCAGATTCTTATTCAAATTTTTCATTCCACCTTAAATAGAGAAGTCCTAACAAATAATTGCTGCTCTGCTCAAGGAGCAATGGAAAATTGTAACAAGTAGCTAGCGTAAAGGAAGCCAACTTCGGCCTGGAGATGTAGCATTACAGTTTACATTTCTTGTTTACTTTTATATAGATATTGCACTTTTGTTTATACGTTTACCTGTAAACTTTTCCAGCATCACATCAGTTTTCTCTGTGTTTTGCAGAACTGGATGAAGAACAGTTTGAGGATCCATGACACACGTCTACATGACCAGGTTTGGGAGATTTTCTCAACCGCTGACAACAATGTGAGTAGTTTCTCAGTCTCACGCGCACAGAAACCAGTGACATCTGAGTGTGTCTCTGTCCTGCACTCGCACATGCATTCATTCATTAGCTGATCAGCCAAGACGTGTCTGGTGTAGGAGTGTGCATTCTGACTGATTTTGATATTCACACTTACCTTAGAAATGTATCGTCACTGTCAATTATATATAATTTGAGCTCAGCTGCTGTCCTTTTACATTGTGTGAAAATACCACGATGAACCAATAGAAATGCTCCAAAAATGCTT